AAAAAATTCGTTTGGTCGAATCCAAAAAATTCTTAAAAAAATTTATTTCTTTGGTTTAGTGGGTAAGTGTTCTGTTTTGGGGTCGTGGGTTCGAACCCCCTGCCGGAAAACAATTTTGTTTTTACTAGAAAAGAATTATCTTAGTTTATAATCTGCTAAAACTGCATTCTTTGATAGGCCCCAATTTTTTACAAGACCTTTTTTAATTTATTTTAAAGGTATATTGCCCCTCTTATGGCAAATTTTGACACAATGGAGAATGGATCAAGCATTTCTTATGCAGATGATGGAAAAAGAGTTGTTGTAGAATGGCATGAAGTTACTCTTCGGGATAATAGACAAGGTTTTTTTTTGAAGAAAAATTTTCAAAAAATTTTTTTTTCAAATTTAGCCGGCCCGTTTACCTTCCAAGTCCATCTTTGGCGTAATGGAAATATTACTTTTGTTTATAAAGAGGTTTTTTTTTAAAAATTTTTCTAAAAATAAATTTCTTTCTTAAAGGTACCAATCCCAATTACAAATATAAGCGATTCTTTTCATCCACGCAAAATGGGAATCTCTGATGCCTATTTGTTTAATCATAAAGTTAGCAATGTTCCACCAGCTCTACAATCTAGTAAAAGAGTTATACACGAGGTTTAATTTTTTTGTGTTTTTGAAGGGACAGACATATCTAGGGTTTTAGGGTGAGAAAAGTTAGGTAACTGTAAATAAGAGGGGGGCTTTTTGTGGACTTTTTCAGTGGATCTTTTTCCCTAATTTTCAAGTAGCAGGGATGGGTCGGGTTGAGAGAAAAAATCGTATCGGATTTAGGTCAAAAAATATCCAGGTTTCGGGTGACCTCCCTGCTCGATAGTGTAATTTGTAGGGACAGAACTAGTCTATTTCTGGACATTCGGAGCCATTAGGTCTTCAAGTCTAGGAAAGTTTTCCATGTTGCTACTCAAGGATCTTGTAATAGTTTAGAAGTCGTTAGAGGCTAATTGGGCTCATCAAAAACATAAAAATATTTTGGACAAAAATCCCGACAATTTCTACCCTATCCCTAAATGCCTTTACTAAAAAATAAAAAAAATCTTTTTTTAGTATCATCGAATAACTGTTTCTCCTGACAAAATAACTTCAAATTCTGTGGTATTCATGGAAGCATTAAAAAGTAATTTTTCGAAAAAAAAATTCCCTAAAAAATTCCCCTCATTTTCCCTTAGCCTGTTTGGATGCTACAACATGTGATGAATGTCATAAAATGGCCTTAAAAACATTTAAATGTAATTGGTGTATACCTAAAGATGGGGGAGACAAAAATCATGGTGGTGAAGATACTGATGCGAATAATAATAAGCCTTTTTGTTCTGATCAAATGGGAATGCATAGACGTAGACAAGAATGGATTGAAGGTTTTCTTTTTGAAGAAAAAATTTTTTGAAATTTTTTGAGAAAATTTTTGGCTCTATCCTAGTACATGCGTACCATGAACTTTTATGCGTCCCATGAAAGTATATGCGTCCCATCAACATAAATTTGGATTTTTCTTGGTGTTGCAAAGTAGTAGGAGTATGGATCCAAAACATTTTTTCATATTCGGGATCTACGTCCACTGGGTCTGGGACCGTTCATTACCCTATCCCTCGAAATTTCTGAAAGTTATAGCCAATTTTTAAGAATTTCATTTGAAATTTCTGAAAAATTTTTCAAAATTTTTGAAATTTCAAAAAAAATTTTTTTTTTAATTTCTAAAAAAATTTTTTAAAGGAAATTGTCAGGTCAACGAGGAAAATCAGGTTTCTTTTACTAAAAAATTTTTTTTAATTCAAACCTTTTTTTAAAGTATTGCAAAGCAGAAGACGTTACTTCACCAGATAATACCACAAAGGAAGCTAATACAGCCTCATTGGATGAATCACAAACAACTTTGGTTAATGCTCCAACTGCTGCTACCACTGTTGAAACTAATACACAAGGTTTTTTAAATTTATTGAAAAATTGTTCGGAGGTTACATTTGGTCCCAGAACCAAAAAATCTGAAAATTTTTGGGTTTTTTAAATTTATAAAGTAAACGCACCTTGCTCCAGACATTTGAAAATTTAGTAGAAAATTTCCCTAAATTTTTACAGATGTTTCACCCTCCCAAAGTCACCACCACACCCAACAACATTCAGACAATGAAAGTTCTGGTGGCATAGCATTTATCACATTTTTTGCTTTAATTGGAATTTCTACATCAATTTGGGTTGCCTATGCTTATTTAAATCCACATACACGTTCTGGACAACTGCTCATAAAGTAAGGGAAGAGATTTTTAAATAGGGGAGGGGCTTCGCCAATAGAGGGGTTAAGAAGACTTGGTCCCCTAAATAAGGGCTTCAGACTTTTTTTCAAAAAAATCGTTTTTATAGAGACGCGTCCTACAACCCCCCCCCCCCCATTAGAAGACCATATCTTTAAAAAAAATTTTTCCTTCAGATATCGCCCTTCCAAATGGCAAATTCCATCAAGTCATGTTCGCTACAGCGCTTCTGTACATATGTAAAAATTACAAAGCTTATACTTATTTGGGAAACACACATTGTTACTTGCCCTTTATTTTTAAATTATATATTTTTTCCTATACTTAAAATTAACCAAATCTCCCTAATTTATTCTAATAGATGTCCTGGGTATTAAAAAATTTTTTTAGATAGGCGTTTATTAGAAAGGGTAGGCGACTATTAGAATAAATCATACATTATTTTCGTAACCAAAATAGATTCCCTAATTTATTCTAATAGACGCCCGGGTATTAAAAAATTTCAGATAGGCGTCTATTAGAAAGGGTGGGCGACTATTAGAATAAATGACACATTCTTTAGCATTTAATAGTTCGTTTATTCCGTGATATTCGAACCTGGAGAGTATATATTCTCATCTCATTTTTTTATTCATGGCCATTTTTTTTATTTTTTAATTCAGCTCTATTAACTTAAATTTGCCTACTAACATACAAAAAAATTTTTTTTTCATAATTATTTTAAAAAATCTCAAAAATGTTGTGTGTGTGTCTATTTTTCAACTAAAATTTTTTTCAAAAAAGTAGCTCTTCCTCAATTATTTTTAAAAAATATTTTTTTCCCTCCCGGGTTCGAACAAATTGATCCTTTTTATTTTTTAAAAATGTTAATTATTTTTCTTAGAAATACTTAAAATAAAATATTTTTTTCTCTTTATTTGTGGAAAATTTCTTTGAATTTCCCATATACCAAAAAAAATTTTCTAACTAAAAAAAACTCCAGGTAGACTTGAATTTCCGATTTTTTAAAATTTTCCCAGTATACTAAAAAAAATTTTTCCTGGTCAAAGAACCCTCCCAAAAAATTTTGCTTGGTCTGTTCCGACCAATGGAGAAAAGTGGATAGCAAAAACCCTTCCCAAAATTTTTTTAAATTAAAATGTTAATTATTTTTCTTAGAAATACTTAAAATAAAAATATTTTTTTTCTCTTTATTTGAGGAAAAATTCAAAAACTTTAATTTTCCCAGTATACCAAAAAAAATTTTCCTTGTTAAAAACCCTCCGAGAAAAATTTTTTGGGAAAAAATCCTTAATTTCTTTCCAAAATACCAAGATTTCTCCATCAAAAACCCTTTCCTAAAAATTTTTTTAAAATTAAATGTTAATTTTATTCACATATTTAATTATTCTAAAAAAATATTTACAAATGAAATTTTGCCAAATATAAAAAAATATATATAAAATGCAAAATTTCAGCTAAATAAATGTTAAAAAGGAGAAAGAATGTCAAGAATTTGAAAAGGAAAGATTAGATATAAAAAAGTATACAAGACCAGTAAATTTATAAAATTGGGTTTTTTAGTAAAAAAGGGAATGCTCGAATTTTTTTGAGTAGGGGGGTTTTTAAAGAAATTTGAGAAAATTTTTTGAAATTTTTTAGGGGTTTCTGAAGGTTTCAAAAAATTCAAAATTTTTTTTTGAAATTTTTAGAAATTTTTTTGTCGAGGGTACCAAGTCCCCTAAATTGAGGTTATCTAATTTAAAAAAAATTAATTTTTCCTTCACCCATACTAGAAAAATGTCTTTTTCACCAAGGTCTGGGAAATGTATGTATATGTCAGGGACAAACTGACAAAATTTTTCAGTCGCCCTCCAAAAACAGAAATATCTGGTACCAATTAAACAATACTCAAACAATTCGAGCTCCCTTTAAATCTAATGGAAAGCAGAACAAAAATTTTTTGAAAAGGAACCCCTAAAATTAAGGGGGAAAATTATTAAAATGGGGGGAAAATTTGCACACAACTTTTGTGTCTAGTTTGGTTAGTAAAAAATACACAAGAAAAGCCAAAATAAATGGCTTAAAAATTTAGCTAGTTTTTAAAATCGAAAAAAACCTCTCTCGTTTTTCCTGAAACCTCCTTAGTTTTTAACCAGACTCTTCATCATTATTATTCCCTTTCCCACAAATTTGTTGATTATTATTATGAGAATTGTGACCAGAAACTGATGGACCTCCTCCTTGATCATTTGTGTTATCATCTACACCACTCAAGTTACGTCCACCAATACGCCAAGTATTTTTTGCTGGGAGGAGAACAATTTGTCCCTTAAAAATAAAAAAATTTTCTGTTGTATAGAGTCAAATCTCATTATAAGCTACACCCCTTGTAGCTAGCTGAAAATATTGTATTTTATGATGAAGTGTATTTTAAGTAAATCATCCACTTATTAGTCGCCTAAATCGAGGTGTATCTTAAATTGGGGTGGCTTATAAAGAGGTGTATTTTAAATTAGTGGAAGTCGTTTAAACAGCTTCCCAACCCTGTGATCAACCAAATTTTAAGAAAACGTATCTTGAACAGGGAGTACCTTAAAATGAGGTGTGGCTTAAATTAGGAAAAAACTTATTGTTTGGCAGCTCCCTTACCCAGCAAAAGGACCCAGCTTACACTAACAAATTTTTAAAGACCGTCTCCTAAGGAATGTATTTAAATCTCGGGGGTGTGCCTTATAATGAGGTCGGACTGAAATAATAAAAAATAGAAACCAAGCCGCGACGAGCAGATTCAGTTGATGACGGTTTTTGTTGAATAGAAGGATCATCATTCTTGCAATGTGTACAACCACCAAAAGTTAAAAGAGCATTTAATGTTTCTTCGTATATACGGGCTTCTGGAAATTCAACTTTTGTTTGTTTCTTTTCGGGAGTATAAACAATTGAAGTACACGAAATCTGAACAAAATTTTTTGTGACTTGTCAAGTTTGGTGGACGGACATTTTTTATAGAAACCATGGTCTAAATAGAAATTTGCCTTGATTTAAGACACCGGAACCAAGCGTGTGGTAACGGATACATCTATAGAAACTTTTTACCCGTTTCCCGTGTCTCCTGAGTTCTAATTTGAAAAATTCGGCCCAGATCTTATCTAGAAACCCATGTGTTAAAAATCCTTAAAAAATTTTCATTTATGAGATTTTTTAATTAAAAAGTTAAACAGCCAAAAACCCCTTCCAAGAATTAAATAACTTTAAAAAGTATAACCTCAACTTTACGGCTAGCATTTCCATAAAAAGTCCATTGACAAATTTCTGGACTGCCAATACCCAAATCTGCAATTTCCAGGAAATTTTTTAAAAAATTAAAAAAAACTTTTAATGAAGAGAACATTATTATTTTTAGAAGAGTTAAAGCGCAACAATAATTTATCAAAAAGCTCTTGATTACTTTGAAAAGAAAAAAATTTTTTTGAATTAAAAAAATTAAAAAAACCGAAGAAAGTTTTCATCAGAACTTGTATTATAACTATATTTGTTGTTATTTCTGAAAAATGTAAAAAAATTTAAGGTAATTTTTCAAATTTAATTTCCCACCGGTTTAGAAGCAATTCAATTACTGGCTGAAAATTGAAAAAAATTTTCGAGAAATTTTTCGTGAAAAACTTTTCAATAAGTTAAGACTAATCTATGCTTCCGATGAACCAAGTCCAAAAAAGAATTATGAGTCCGAGCAAAATTTTATGAGTCACTAAAAATTTATGAACTCATTGGAGGATTAATTGGATTCAATTGGACTCATAAAATGTAGTCCGAACTAATTTTTTATTGGACTTATAAACGTTTCTTTGGACTCCTAAACTTTCAACGGACTTATAAAGCTTCATTAGACTCATAAAGGTTCATTTTTAAATTTACTTACACGACCCGTAGAGCTTTGCCAAATTCGTTCAACTTGTTTCTTTGACATAACCACAGGTACTTGACAAACACCAATTGGCTCAACTTGAGCTTTTTCCATGTTTATAAACCAAGATTCACACAAGCTTACCAATTCCTTTTTTAAAAATAAAATTCAAACAATAATTCAACAAAATAAAATTCATCAATAAGACCGCTTAGAGAAGTGTAAATTCTCAAAGACTGCATCAGGGATGTCACGGGTGCCCAAAATCCGACCTGAGATTCGGCTTTTTTCGACACGAAACCCAACCCGAATTTTTTCTCAACACGTGACACCCCTAGACGGGATCCACTGACCATGTATGGTTTGCGGACCAAAATTTGCGGACAAAATCCCAACACTAGAGTTGAGGGAAAAAAGAAAGGAAATAGGTACCAAACTAATCAAGTCTATTAAATGTAAACTTATTGTTAATCAAACATCATCTGACCCTCTTCCTGAATCTCGAGCCCTTTTTCTATAAAGTAGAAAAGGCAAACAATACATCCGTTTAAAAATCTTTTAAAGAAAAACCTGAATCAAATAAAATTTAGCCTCAATAATAATCTCTTGAACTTCAGTACGACAATCCGGTAACGGAACAGTTCCATCTCTCATAAAATTTAAGATCAATCCAAAATGTTTTCCACAACGATCAATGGGTACATAACCATCAGAATCACGAAAAACCTATTTTTAAAAATAATTCTTAAAGAATAATTTGAAAAAACCTCATTTCTCCCAGAAAACATTGCTTTAAACATGGAATCATATTTAAGTAAAGTTCCCAATGTTGTATGAAAAAGTGCTCCACCTACATTTAATTTTACATATTGGTTAGCGGTATCCATTTTTTAATGTTAAATTCTGAAAAAAATAAAGAAAAAATTAGAGGACTTTTGCGGACAACATTTGCGGACAAAACTGAAACCTATTGATATTGGACAATCGATTATAAGATCGCGCCTCTTTTTGACTAGAAACTCGTTCCTAAAGAAATTGAACCCCCTACTAGACTTTTTTTTCTCAACCAGGCCCATTCGAATTAGAGAAGACTTTTGCGGACTAATATTTGCGGACGAAACAGAAACCTATTGGTGTCCCTTAAGATCGTGTCCCTTTTCCGACTAGAAACTAAGATCGTGTCCCTTTTCTTTTTTTTTTTATAAGATCGTGTCCCTTTTCCGACTAGAAACTCGTTGCTAAAAAATTGGAACCCCGACTAAACTCTTTTTTCTCAACCAGGCCCATTTCTGACGTCCACACAGAGTTTATGTTAAAAAATCTAAAACTTAAAAAGAATGTCCGCAAATGTCAGTCCGCAAATTTTGCTTTCTAACGGATTAGCGTTCCTGTGGGTTTCTTTTAGCTTTAGGTACGGTCAACTATAATTGAGAAATCCTGTCCCAACTCAAAAAAATAATTTTTCTCTTTATGGGCTATGCAAACAATAAAAAAATAAAGCAAAAGTAACTCACTAACAATAAACTAGAATTATTAATAATACCAAAAAATAAAAAAAAAACAAATCGATTTTGCTTTCTGTCCTATACAAGAGAAAAATAAATGTGAATTAATAATTTTTTTACAACAACCAAAAAAAATTATCTATGTGTGTAATAGAAACAAATAAATAAACAATGAAAAATGTTTGTTTTTATAACAATTGAAAAAGAAATAATTTTTCTCAAATTTTTATTCTTTATTACTTTTATTTTTTATAAAATTCCAAGGCCAATTAATGTACACAATAATTAATATATTAAATAAATGAATATATTTTTTTTATTAAGGTAGGTAAAAATGTCCCCGTTGTCGGTCTGTCCGCAAAGAGAGAAAAGAGGTCCAGTTGTGTCCACAAAGGGAAAATAACCTGTTGAACAGAAAAGGAAAAAAATTAGCGAGTCCAAAATGTACACATAATCCAAAAATATCCTAAAAATACAAAAAGGGAAGAAAAAGTGCACACATTTTTTGTGGTCAGGTAGACCTCCAACCGGACATTTGCCATTAAGGTAATTTGTAATATTCCTTTAAAAAACCATTTTTTGTTGACCAGAATTTAATTAAAAAAAAAGTACAAAATCAAGGGAATATATCAACAAAAAATAGTCAAAAAATGGTCAAAGGACTACTAGACACATTTTAAGCAAAAAAAGGTCTCACATTTTAAGTAAAACAGAATCTTCTCTTTAAGTAAAATATTTACTAACCACAAAAAATAACCTTTTTCTTCAATATTCTTTAAAATTTTCCTCTATTTCTCCAAAAATGACTGGAATCCATTACTTCCCCCATAAGCCAAATTTGTCGGTAAAGAGTCTTGTCCACCATTTAAAACGGCCATTTTTGTAAAATCATTTGAGCCTGTTGAATTTTCTACTGCTTGAGAACAATTTAAATGGCATTGACCAAAAGCCTTGTGTAAAGCTAAAATTTGTTTTCGCATAACTTTGCAACGATTTTCTTCTAATAAAACAAGTTTTGCCTTAAAAAAATTTTTTTAATAAAAAATAAATTTTCGTTAAAAAATACCCTAACATCTTCCTTCAATTGTTCATATTTTGCCCTTTGTTGATTACATTGTTCTTCTAAAACAGCAATTGTTTGAGCAGTACTGTTAGGGTTTTCACGTGCTGCTTGTAATTCTTTACGACCGACATCGAATTCGAGTCGAGCCTAAAAAATTGAGAAAAATAAAAATTTTGCGCTTTGGTGTAGTGGGATAATTTAAAATTTTTAGTTATAAGGGGTCAAAGGTTCGAACCCCTACAGAGGAGAATAATTTTTATTTTTAGAAAAAACCCTAATTTAAGTCTTGAAATTAGAGTCGATCTTAAAAATAAAAATTTTGCGCTTTGGTGTAGTGGGATAATTTAAAATTTTTAGTTATAAGGGGTCAAAGGTTCGAACCCCACCAGCGAACAACAATTTTTATTTTTAAGAAAACTCATAATAAAGCTTAACAATTGTTAGATTCCATTCAGATTATTCACGAAAAATAATTTTAAATTTTATAAAATAATTTTAATAAACCTGGTTATGGCTTTCAATAGTCAAAAAAGTATCCTCAATAGTATTATCACAAAGTGTTTGAAGTGAAGACAAAAATAGTGACAAACTTCTTTGCAAAGGTTCGCTGTGTTGTCCCATAACAGAGAAGAGCTCGCTTTGCATATTTAATTCTTTCTGAAAAAATTTTTAACTTGTAAGAAAAAAGGAAGAATATTCATGATTAAGGGCGTTTTAAGGGGCAAATCATAATCAGTCATATCTCCCATACGCCGATCGGACAAACAAAATGTAAATTAAAAAAGTTCAACGAGCTAGTGTGAATCGAACGACACCAAAATTAAACTCCTGTTTAGATGGTAAGTAGGGATTGGTCCCACAACAGTCAAAAGATCTAAGAGGGTCTCATAATGGTCAAAAATTGTAAAAAGGATCAAATTGACTTACTGAAGTGATAAATTCGATCGCAAATTTTTCCCTTCAAAGGAACCCGTTAAAATAAACCCATGAAACCCTCAAACAATTATTTAAAAAATTTATCTTACAGAAATAGCCGTCTCTTTAGTAGCCAATTCACACAAAGCACTTGCCATACCCTTTTGCATATTATTTGCAAGAACCATATAATTGGTAAAATTACGAGCATTCGAAAGCAATTCTCTATAACATTTTCGTAATTCTTGAAGTTCTGCAATTCGTGCATTTAAATCGAGATCTGATGTTTTGTCAATCTAAAATCAAGTTTTTTTAACTAGGCTTATTAACCCCGACATTTTTGAAAAGCCTGGGCCTGTTCCTAGGTTTGATTTATTGACCTGGGCTAAATCCTGGGCCTGTGGAAGAGGAACAACCCAGGTCAAGGAAAACCCAGGAAGGTCACAAAATGCCTGGGCCTAGACTCTGGGCACAGGAAAAACCCAGGCCTTGGTCCAGGCCCAGCTCGATCCATACCCGACACATGAACAATTTTGTCGACCCCGAATCCCCAACTAACACAGATCCCGAGCTTTTCGACACGACGAGACTGTGTCCAACCCTATTATTAATATTTAATTTTCATTTAAAAAAGAAAACCTTTCCCATATGTTCTAAATACAAATGTTTTGTATTTTTGTAAGTAGTCAAAGTCCATTTCTTAAGAGAATCAATTTTTGCTGCTGTAGCTGTTGTAAGCTGTTGAAGTTCCTGACTGGAAAAATAAAAAAAAATAAATTTCTATCAAATATAAAACCTATTAGTAGCCAAATCCAAAATTCCTTGAACCGGATTACCCGTCCGTCGAGGCCCATTCAGTGGAGGGCTTTGTCGGGTTACTGAAGGATTTTGTCCAGGCAAGTCTCTGATCTTTTCCTCCTCTAAAAATAATTTATTTTAAATAAATTAAAAAAGTAAACTTGGTGTTGTAGAAACTTCTGTGGCCTGTTCTACTGTATCAAATGTGTCTGATTTTTCGGCCAACATTTATTTAAAATATAAGATTATAAGTAGTCTAAAAAGTAAAAAAATATTTATGAAGCACAAAGAAATTGGGAAAAAAATGATAAGACGTGGGAAGACGTGTCAATTACGTTAAAAGAAAAAATATCCATTAAGAAAGAAATATAAGAGACTCAAATAACCCTTCAGTTTGAGTCAACAAATATTTTGCTTCTTTCTCTCTCCCATGCTATTTTCTTAACGGTCTAGCGGGGAATAAGACACTTCAGTATCGCCGATTCAGTATCTAAGCCATAACTTTCTTGTTTTTCCTCCGATCCTAGTAATTCTCATATAATTCAAAAGCTCTCGAGATGCGCATTTTTTTTATAATTAGGCCAATCTAATCTGAAAATTCTCCAAAAAGTTATAGCCAAATAAAGGCCGTAAATCACGATTGACCTCACTTATTCGGCTATAACGTATTGTACAATGTCTGTTCAAATCAACCCCGCTAGGTAAAATAATCCCCACTTTTAGAGCTTTCGATTGATATAATAATTATTTAAATCGGTTAAGAATCAAAAAAGTTATGGACCAAAATATGCCCCAAATACTGAATCGGCAATACTCTATCGTCCCCTTTACTGACTAAAATTAAATTTAAGATTTTCGTGGTAAAAAATTTTTTCGAAAAATTGACATTTGGTCAAATTACAAATTTTTGGAATTTTCCTTTTTTAAATTTTTTTCATTTTTATGCCGAATCAGTATTTTTTTCATTTTGTTCCCAAAGTTTTTCTTAAAGTTGCTTTAAGTGCTTTTTTTTATTTCAATTCGATTTTTAGGATTTTTACTCTTTAAAATGCTTTCTCTTCCGTTTGAAGTTCAACTTGATGTTTTGAAATGTCTTAAGTTCGAACAATTATTCTCTTTCAAACAAACCAACTTTTACTATCGCAATTTAATTGAAAAATACGAGGGAGAATTGGCTCGAGTGGAATTTTTTAGACTCTCACTTGTAAATATTAACTAGTTCCATTTAAAAATTGATTTTAGATTGACACCTTATCTATCGGTCGCCAATTGAGAAATACTCACAAAATCGTTGAACTTGAACCGGTAGTTTCTGATTTTGCCTTGAATGGTCAACTTATGAAGAAGGTTGCTAAATTGATTTTTAATTTTGAATGAGACTTTTTTTCAGTGGAAAGCAGCGATAGCTGAATCCGTTCCTTTGTTTTTGCGCGGTCATGATGATTTTGTTGGAGACTTTGTTGTTCAAATGGAGAAAACGGGTTTGTGATGAATAATTTATTAATTCATTTTAGGAACTTACTGAGATTTAAATAGAAAAATAACAGGGAAGTATAGATTATCCCCAACTGGGACCCTATTAGGCCAAAATAAACCTAACGGGGGTCCTTTTTTGGTGAGCACGAATGTCAAATTATTTGTTCTAAACGACGGAAGAACTACAAATTTCTGTCTATAACATTTTTTGATATTTTATTCATATGAGCGCTTTTCGCTTTGCTTAGACTTTTTTGAGATTTTCGTTGCGCTCACCCCTGATCACGATTCCGAGGCATAAAAGCATATCAGGTAAAATTAATCTGAGGCTCAACTCTAGGTTTAGGAGGGGGGCATGAGCTAAATACCCATCTTTCTATTTAGAGAACAAAAAACCGGTTTATATTCTGCACTTGCCAAATATCCCAAAAACTGTTGAAGAATTGATTATTGTTCGGTTTTGGTTAGAACAACTTTTTAATTGTGCTTTTGAAAATGCTATTTTTATGAGCACATTTAACCCAACAATGATTAATTTATTATTCGATGATTATAAAGCAATCTCTTTTCAATTTAACATTCAAACAGTATCTATTAGGACTAGCAATGCTACATTTGAAAATTCTTTGAAATTTGGTTTAAATCGTTTTGCTATTTACGAATTTTTTGGCATTTTCAAATATGAAGACATTTCAGAACAACAAACAAGTATTTTATTCAATATTATAGCAAATGAAGGCAAAAAATTGCCTCACGTTTTTTTCGGTTATTGTGATACTTCAAGACTTTATGATCTTATTATTAAAGTAACTTATTTAAAAATTAAATTTGTGAAAATAAATTTAAATTTTAGTATATAACAACATCAAAAGATTTCTCAAAAATGGTGCCTACTATTTGTTTACTTTATAATTCATTAGAAAATTTTAAATTGAATGTCAATGCAAAATGTTCTGTAACTAAGCAAATTAATGGTTGCAACTCTACAATATACCTAATTGTCAATATTTATAATCCAAAAACGAAATTTTTACTTTATAAAAATGAGAAACCGGCTTCTGTTGTTATCAAAAAATTGGAAGAGTAGAATTTGAGAGGACAAAAAAATTTTTTTGAGAATTATTAAATCTTATTTATTCGACAACAAAATATCTGCCAAAATTTTATTTAATTTTTATTGGATTAAAAATTTTTTGTTTTATTTATTTTCATAATTTTTTAGCAGTTTAAAGTCTGCCAATTTATTTTTAAATATTTTTAAACTTTAATTTGAATTTATTTATATATTTAATTTTTGAAATGTTCTCTCTTCAACATTAAATTCAGTGCCTGTGTCGTTCTCCCCACCTGACTTTTTTCTTCATATTTTGCTACTCTTTTGAGAACTATCCTTCATTAGTATTTTTTATTTATAAGCTTATAACTCATTTTTTTTTATTAATTTAAGATAGCTAGATGAGTTTTATTCAACCGATGAAAGAGTGAAGGTTCTACTGGTTTTGGTCATTCCTAAGGGTTCTGTACAAGTTCAACATGTGGACATGTGGTTACTTCTACTGATGATGCAGAAAGTGTTTTGAGGTTTTTTTTGAGTTCACTACTATAGGCACTTTTCTTAGTTGCCCATTTTTTTTCTGGGGTGACTGGAGTGAAGGGATTAGGTAATGTATCCGCAAATTAATTCCTCCCATTTCCTGAACATCTTAAACCCTCAAAAATGTCTTAAACCCTCTAAAATCTCCTTATTTTCATTTTCTTCTTCATTCACTTTTTTCTAAATATTTTTGCTCATGTCAACCTTTGTTGGTTGTTTGTAGCCACAAATTGAAGTAAAGCAACAACATACCTTTCCCCCACAAAAACAAGTTTTTATTTCAAAGAAGAGATTAGGACACACGAAGGGGAAGAAAGCAAAAAAAAACTTTTCAGCAATTAAAATAAAGAACGCAGTTTCTTCTCCCAAAAAACATTCATTTAGCTATAGGACTCTCGCTAACCAGCTAACTAATTTTTCTGTTTTTGTTTGTTCCTCAATTTCCATCCCAAAAAACTCTTCGGTGGAACGACCACATTTTTCCAATCATTTTTATTTTCCTTCCAATTACCTTTTTTGCTACACTTTTCGTTAAAACAATTGGGGTGGGGGGGGGGGGGAGTTTGTTGGGGTTTTTCTGTTCTACCGCCGATTGTTCCACTCCATTCTCTTGTCTTCTCTTGTCATTAGTGTAGTTTACCCCACCTGGCTTTTATTGTTTTTTCCACCTCTTTACAACCCCACCCTTTGGTACTCACTTTTCTTCTTCCCCCATCTGACTTTTTTTGTGTAGTTTACCCCCCACCCCTTTCCACTTTCTTCTTCTATTTTCACCTATTACTTCTCCAACCTCCTTTCTGCTCTTTTTTATGCTTCAATCAAAAATTTTGGCCGTTCCTTTTATGGCAATTCCTTCAACTTCCTCCTTTTCTTCCTCATTTTGTTTTGTTCCCCCCAAATTAAAAAATAATTTTTACCCAAAATTACTTTTTTTATTTTTTATTTTCTTTTAATTTTTCCCTTTTCTTTGTCCGCTTATTTGAACCTTTAAAGTTAAATTACTATAAAAGAGTAATGCTCCTTCTGAGACCCGTTTTTTCATAAATTTTGTTTTCTCATTGAGTTAGTTGCTTTTGGCCTTAATTCTTTCATTTTTTTCTATTTTTTTGCGCAATTTCCCTTCTAACTTTTTGCATTTATTCTGTTTTTTGGTAATATATTTTGGTTTAGACCCCCTTTTTTCATTTATATTTTTTTCTTTTTTTATGGCAAATATTATTCGGAAGGGCTCTTCGAGCTAAGTTCAATGATCCCTCAGTTCCCATAACTGACCCGATCGGTAGCCGGACTCGTGGCCTGGAATCCGGACTTTTTTCTCAATCCGTCAACGAAATCTGACTTGAATAAACAAAACAATCTTTCAAAATCATTAGATCTGCCCAATTATGGTAACATTCAACACAGCTCGGATAGGGTCGAATAATAAAAATATTATTTATCGAACAAAAAAAGCTCAAAATGGTCAGTGAAACAGGAAAAATTTTTCTGCTTTTTTATGCTTCAATCAAAAATTTTGCCGTTCCTTTTATGGCAATTCCTTCAAGTTCCTTCCTCTTTTACACCTTTTTTTCTTAGTTTTTTAAAATGACTGCCTTTGGATTTTCCAAAATTTTAACCCCTTTCGGAATTATTTTTCACCTTCTACTATTCTCCACCTCCTTACAAATCTCTGTCAATGCTCAAAATGTTGCTCCTGTTCCAAAGGAATTGGCAGGCGAAGGAATGGGCAATGTGGGTCAGCAACAGTAATTGGAATATTTAAACCCTTTTACTTTTTAAGAAAGCGGGAGTTAGGGCTCGTCTCTCTCAATTAGGTGTTAACTACATTGCAACATTTTTGAAGGATATTTTGATTCAGCAAGTTTTGAGTGTTACTCCGGAGAATGAAGAATTTACTGTTCAAGTATAAATTTTTAGTTTAAATTAAAATGATGGGGATTTACTTTACGGGAAAATAGGGCAAATTAGTGAAAATACTGCTTGTATAAATCAGGCTAACTTTTTTCGAAGTGGACGGATTTTCACTAGAGGTCGGTGAAGTCCCAATTCTTTGGTTTCTAAAAGGATTTTTTTCAACATGTCGTACGAGACGGAATCCCTCTGGATTAATCCTGTGTCCGTGATTTCTTAAAACCCGGGATTTCCGAGCTGGGTTTCGTAAAATCCATTGTAGGGTCCTATCCCGTGCTTACCTCTAATTTTCTCATAATTAAGTATCAAAATGTCATTATTTTAAGTTTAATTTATATAACAGACTTTCGTTTCCCTATCAGTTTAACGACACTAAAGCAAAGCTGACTGATCTTGTTTTATCTGTTCAACATGGACCTGGCCCGTTGAAGACAAAAACTGAAGCACCTTCTCAAGTCAATATTGAACTGCCCGAAATTGCGTTTGAGTTAGTTTTAAATCTCTGACAATTTTTTGATTAATGATTAAATGAATTTTTATAAAAGGTGTAAAGCGACATTATCAGATGGCGGCACCAACAAAAAAGTCCTCTTTCATGTTAACACTTCTGCCTTGTTTTTAAATGTTTCTTCACTTCATCACCCTCGGGTTTGTTTCTCTTTTCATAATTTTTTATTTTATTCTAATCGGGATAGCACTCTCGCCCTTTGGGTTCGTTAGTAAGAGATCGGGTTTTCCGGGGAGGGCTTGTCGTGATTTGGGGTGGAGGTGTTGACTTTTGGGTCTAGAAACAGGGTGTTACCTTATCTTTCATCATTTGAGTCGTTTAAAATATAAATTTTCTTTAAAAAATATTTTTTAAGGGAGCGCCCAAATTTCTCATCTCAAAGTAAAATGCTTATTTAAAAATTGCTTTTTTAAAATTTTACCTAATTTAAATTCCTTTAAAATTAAAATTTAGGCTATTTAAGGTGTCAACTACATTTGGACGTTAAAGCTTTGAGTATATCTTTGGAAGGAGAAGGAGGAACAAATAATAATGAAAGAAAAGCAAAATTGACAGAATTGGGAGCTGAATTGCTTGAAAAGGTTTTTTTTTAATTTTTTTGAAAATTTTTTTTTTGCTTTTTTAGTTGACTTGTTCTCGCATTGTTTATGTTATTGAAGAGGTTTTTTAAAAATAATTTTTTATAAATTAATCAGTTTTAATTTAGCGTGTAAATTCACGCTTTGCTTTGCTTCCATCAAAACTTAATTTAGCCCAACTAAATAATAATTTTATTGTTGAAGATTTGCTTAAAAAAGTTGAAGCTGTGAGACAAAGGCAGAGGTTTAGTTTAAATAATTTTTTTTATAAAAATGAGGGGGTCCATAAGTTCTGTGAGACTACCGATGAGGTAGTGTAATTAACTCAAGGAAATATCGTTCAATGTTGGCGCTAATCTTTTATATTTTTTCGTTCTCGGTAAGGACCTTCGTCTTCCTATTGCGAAGGCTAACCGTCCAATTTTGGCTGGACATTAGAGATCGGCATTTTTGAACAGCCTGAGCCTGTTCCTGGGTTACGGAGTTGATTTATTGACCTGGTCCTCTATCCATGAAAAACCAAGGCCCAGAAAAAACCCGGGGAGGTCAAAAAATACCTGGGCCTTGACTCTGGGTACAGGAAGAAACCAGACCATGGTCCAGACACAGGCCGATCTCTACTGGCTATAACTCGGCCCAAAGTCATTTTTCAAGTAAACGAATACCGCGCAGGGGTCTTATATAAACTGGTCCAAGGATATATCAAACCAGCACTCACAGTAAACGATGTTTCCTTATGGGCTTTTTTCTCTTCTAACCAAATAACTTTTTTTATTATTAAAATAATTTTTTATTTTTTTTTTTGAAGAAGAGCAGAACCACCAATTCAAACTTCTAATGAAAATGCTCCTGTTGATCCTGATCTTTTTGCAAGGTTAATTTTTATAAATTTTTTCTATTTTTCAAATTTTTTTCTAGTTTTAACGTATCTCGTGCTGATAAGCTTCTTCTCGATTATACAATAATTGACGTTCGTGCAGACCATCGTGGGGTAGAAGTTGACAGTAGCGGAGAAGTTTCATTGCGTGGAAGAGGAGGAACGCCTTTTGGTTTTTTTCAATTTTTTTTTGGATTTTTTTAAATTTTTAAAAATAGGTCCAATGCCCTTAACTTTGCCATTACTTGCCAACGAGGAAAATATGTTACAGATGTTGGTTTCTGATTTTATGCCAAATTCTCTTTTATATCATGGACATTCTATTGGACTTTTTAATGCTAGAGTGGATACAAAAACTCCACATTTTGGTTCTTTAATGCGTACTACTTGCCCGGTTTTTTTCTTTTTATTATTCTTTTTTTCTGCCGCTAAATTGGGTTAATTTTTTATATTCTTGGGTCAACCCCATTAGAGAGATCCTGCTGGTGTAGACCAGGGATGGGTTGTTTTTTCAACCCCCCCCCCCCCCCCTCGCTTCCGCCTTTTGTCTTCCACTTTTTAAAATGCGCTTAGGCTTTTCATGTAATGGGAATTCGGGTCTAGGTCTTTCTGATTTTTTAAATCCCTCTTTTTCCATATGTAATTTTAAATTTCTGTTGACTTCTTTAAAGTTTTTTTTTAATAAAATAATTTTTTCAATTTCAGGCTTCAACCGGTCTTCTCTTCTGTTTAGGAGATTTCTTTCCAACTTTGAGACGTTTACATCCTGATCACAATCTTGCATTACTCTTCTCAACGGTAAATATTTTTTTCTTGAAATTTCGATTTGTCGTTGGAATTTTTGAAAAATCGAAATTTCGAAAATTTTTGAATTCTTCTTAAATCAAAAGAATTTTTTTATTTTTAAAGCTTCAATCCCCAGTAATTAAATTTCGTCCCCAATCATCTGGTGGAATAACATTTTCTCTAGTTGGAAGAATTATTATGAGTTTACTTGAAGGAAATGCTACAAAAACTAATAAAATGAAGGAAACAGAAGTTGCTCAAATGCAAATGAATGTTAATGCACATATGAAAATTAAATTGAGTAGCACAACAGTTAGACCGAAAATTACTTTGGATAAAATTTCTTTGGTTTTTTTAATTTTTTTTGGCAATTTAAAAATTTTTTCTTCTTTAGAAAACTTTAACACCTGGAATTTTGGCACAAGAAGAATTGGATAGATCTGTGCTTCTTTCTAAAGAAGTTCTTCAACGAATGGTATTACTTTTAAAAATTAGATTTTTTTAAATTAATTTAAATTTTAGGAGTTATTGGGAAATTTTCAAAAAAAATTTTTTTTGAAAATTTTCAAAAAAAATTTTTTTTGAAAATTTCTTTGAATCGTTAAAATAACTAAACTGTTGTTGGGAAGACCTTTTTGTTTCTTTTCTCGTTCCTTCCGTTTAAAGAATTTTTTGCTTGGCTCTGATTCATCTCTTTTAATTGAAAATTTACCAAGTCTGACGTCTTAATTAAAAAAAAATTTTTTTGGTCCATACGATCGAGCTAGAACCTTCTAAATGCGTACCCTGGAGTCAATTTCAGGGAGACTAAAATGGGTTTACTTCAGCGCCACAGGCGAAAATTTTGTGAATTTGGGTTTGTAGGGGGGCTATAGCCCCAGAAGCCCCCCCCCCTCTGGCTACGCCCTTGGAACCTTCATTTAATTGTATGGTTCCAAGTTCTATTGTCTGAACCATTTTTTAAACAAGATGCCAAACTTAGTAAATTTTCAATCAAAAGTGAGTTTAAATTTTTTTTTAATTTTTCCTTTTAAAGGTAAATGACATTCTTCGTGGAGGCATTCCAATACCTGTTCATCCTTTACTTCGTTTACATCGACCAAAAGTTAAAATTCAAGATCGGGCATTACTTTTATTAACAAATGTTGAATTTAATGAGCCGTTGATACGTCAAATTGTTGGGGCTAGTTTGGACATTAAAAGAGGGGTTGTTTAAAGGAAAATTAAATTTTCTATAGGGAAACACGCATGTAAAAAAAATAGTTTTTATTATTAATTAATTGCCTGTACAAATGTATATAATATATAATTAAATTAAATAACGGGTTAACTTAATTTTTTACCCCAAAAAATTTTTTTGAGTAGGGAAATTGATGGGATTATGAATAGAGATCGGCCTTGATTTGGATCCAACTCTTGATTTTTCCTGGATTCAAAGTCAAGATAAAGGTATTTTTCGGTGTCCCTTGATTCTGCCTTGACCTTGCTTTTCCCATGACTTAAGATCAAGAATTATGTCAAGGTCCTCAACCAAAATTAAGAATCACTGTCAATTTTTTTCCGATCTCTAGATTTCTTAGACCAATAAAAATAGGGGGTCAAAGAAGAATGTGTTGAAGAATGTGTTGACAAGTGTATTTTTTAATTTCTAGGGTTTTTTAAATTTTTTTAAGACTTAGAATTTTTTTAAAAATTTTAGGTTTAAAAATTTACATAATTAAACACAAAAAAAAAATAATAAATAAAATAAAAAAAAGTTATAACTAGAACCAGTCTTGAGGAAATTATTTTTCTCTATTTAATTTCCTCCCCCTATATTCTCCTCCTTTTTCCTCATTTATTCAATCATAAGGAACGGTCACTTTTAATGCTTCTTCAAAATTAACAGGTTCTCGTAAATTCCCTCCTTTTGAAAAATTTTGTTAAAGAAATTCATTAATCAGTAAAAAACCTCTATGCAATTTTGCCCTTTGATTAGCTAATTGTTGAGCACTTAAACGTTTTAAAAATTTATTTGATATGCTAGGTGGTTTTCCTTTTTCAATTGAAAGTTCTGGAACTATGCCGGTTTCAGGCTGCAAAAAATTTTTTAATAGTCTAACTTCTTTAATGCCCCCAGAAAATTTTGGTTTTCTATTAAGTGTGAGGAGATGTCAGAGGGATTTACCCTTTATTTAATATACAGTCGAACAACGTAAGCAGTCTTTTCTTCTTCGGTCCATTGTTCGTTATATCTAGATTCACTGGACACCGTATTTAAGGTACGATTTTTCAACCACAAAGGGTGTATCGAAGAATGAGCCTTTTTCGTATTTGGAGGGCCAATTTTGGAAGGGAGCTATTTAAGTGATACTTTGTATTTGAGTGATAATGATGGATAGCACTCACTATAAGCTGAATTTTTTAACCTTAAAGGGGGTCTCTAAAAATTATTCGCAAGAAAAGTGAGGGTAACTTCTTTTTAAATAATAAAAATTTTTTAACTTACTAACCGGTGCAGTATCCTCTTCAAGTGAAATTGGAGAAGGATCATTGAGAACCTTTCAAAAAATTATTGGAATTTTTTACTTAAATTTTTGTTACATTTTCGTTTTGCTGTCTCCATCGTTGAATTTTATAAAAATTTGTTTCGTGTTCGTTAGATTCTTTTATTCTTTCATGACCTTTAAAAAATGGATTTTTTAAAAATTTAATTGTTTTGTCTTTGTTTTTGTCCTTTGTTCTCCGAAAAAGTTTTTAACACAGCAAATTATCCTATAAACAACTACATACGAATTACCGTTTTAAGTCGACCCGACGTTTGATGTATTTATCGGGACCTGTTTGTTTCTTTTGGGCCAAATATGCTCGATTCTTGACCTTTTCGGCCATGTCTAGCCCAATTAATAACCCTAAAAAACAAAATTAACACTGACCAGAATTTAAAGATGATGTTTGAATTAAAGGCGTGAAAGTCAATATTGTTAAAAATAAACATGGAAGAGTTAAGGATAATAATTGTTGTGAATAAAATAATGACATAGGGAGGGAGATTAAGCAATAACAACAAAGCTTCTCTCATTAAGAAGAAAAATTGTTTGTTTTGTTTTTAAGAGAAAAATCCGGACATGGAAAAATTAATATTTTTTGTAATAATTTATACGGGTCAAAGAAGAATTAATTAATTAGTTGAGAGAGAGAAAATTACGAGACCGGTTTTTCGGAAATGATATGTTTATGTTTAACCTTTTTTTATTTGATATTTAGAGAGGTTTTATTAATCATTTTAACTTCCGTATTTAATATAAAAATTAAAAAAAAATTTTTTAATTTTTAGAAAAGGTTTCGAATTCCCAGACATTATACTCTCTTAAAAATGCTTTGTATTTCTTATTACTCTGACAGCCTTACAGTTGATTTTTGCGTAGTTTTACTTCTCCAATATCGTTTCATCCTCAAATTAATTTTATTAGGGTACCTGGTATGGTTCGATTCAGCTCGACGAGATGCATCGAATCATACCGGGGCGTTCCGGATTCGATAATTTTGAACCAAGTTATAGCTCGGCGGTACATTGGCCTTGCGGTACAATACTCCTTTATTACTCCTCCCCATCCCTTCAGTTGTATCAATCTCTTGAATATCCTCATCTTATCTCGATTTCCGAGTTATCCTGACCTTTCAATTGTCTCATTTATTTTAATTTACCCCTCAATTGTCTCAATCTTTTCTTAGTTATCTCAATTGCTCATCTCCAGACAATTTTCTTTTTAGCCCTTTTTTGTCTTTGCATACTTTTATTTTTAATGGCCAAAGGCCAAATTTCTTTCCAAGCAATTTTAAGTGTCCAAAAAACATTGGGGAAATTTTTTTATTTTTTATTTGCCAAATGTTATTTTGGATAAACAAACAGGCTAAACAAAAATTTTTTTTTATTTTTATTTACGAAAAATGACGAAACGACCTTTTTTCTTTCTCCCCCACATACTATTCCCTTTTTATTTCAACTTGTCATTTCCCCTTAATTTTAAATAAATAAATTCTCCAAACAATTCTAAACATTTTAACTTTAAAACCTTTTATTTCTTTGTTTTTTTATTTAATTTTAAAGGTAGGGAGACGCCCAAATAGGCGCGCGCCAATAACGGCGCGAAGCCATAACTTGCTGGAAAATTTCCGGATCTTAACAATTCTGGTACAAATCTCTTTAGCTCGATGAGAGGAATCGTTTAATACTAAATTTTGAAATATTCGGAAATCTTGAAGCAAAATATGGCTTTGCGCCGTAATGGGCGCGCGCCTATTCGGGCTGTACCAGGGTAAAGAGATTTTCTTTTACTATTGCCCTTTTAAATTTAAATTTTTTGTTTAAAAAATTTTATTTTAAATTTAAATTTTATTTCCTTTATTACCCTTTTAAATTTAAAATTTAACGTTTTAAAATTTACTTTAAGAGTGAAAAAGTTTTAGGGACACGCCTAAATAGGCGCGCGCCCATAACGGCGCAAAGCCGTACCTTGCTTCAAGATTTCCAAATCTTTCCAAATTTAGTATTAAACGATTCCTCTCTTCGAGCTAAAGAGATTGTTACCAAAATTGTTAAGGTCCAGAAATTTTCCAGGTAGTTATGGCCTTGCGCCTTTATGGTCGCGCGCCTACTTGGGCATGCCCCTTAATTTTATTGCCCTTTTAAATTTAAAAAATTTTAAATTATTTAATCTAAAATTTTTAATTTGATTGATAAACAAAAATAAAAATGATAACATTTTTGAATTATATTAAATAAAGTTTCATATTTTTTTTAAATTTTTATTTTCACATTTTTTAAATTTATTTTTAATGTAAACATAACAACAACAAAATTATTTATATATTTTTCTATTTTCTCTTAAAAATTTTATATAAATTTTTATTTTTCCTGTTTTCAATTTTCTTCTACTATTTCCTTTTAAAATATTCCACCTTAAAAGATAAATTTTCCCTCCTAAACAGTTGATCTCCCAATTTTCTCGATTTTGTGGGATTTAACGATTTTTGGTTGGGAATGCTTCTCGTTATTTAGAATAAGCTGATTGTTCGTTGGGTTTTGTAGGAGGAAAAAAATTTCCCCCAATTTTCCCTAAAATTTTCCCTAGGAGGAAATTTTTTTCCTCTTTTTAGGATGAGTTTTAATGTCTGAAAATTTTCATTTCTAAGAACTGGAGGATTTCAAATACAGAAAAATTCTTCCAATGGGGAAATCTGTTTCTTTTAGACCATGAGTTGATTTTTCAGGGTTTTCGAGGGAATTTTTTCCCGGAAAATTTTCCGATTCCAATTTCAGATCGTTCCCTTTCCTTGTTTTTTTTTCGATATTGTGAAATTTAATGATTTTTGGAAAGGGAGGGGGAAGGGGGAATTTACATAAATAAAATGTTTGTTCTTGAATGTTTTTTATTGAATGAGGGAAAAAGAATTAAAAAATTTAAAGGGAAGTATGAGTAATACTTTTACCTCTTTTTTTCTTTGATTTTCTTTGATTTATTACCGCCTACTTAACATCAATTTTTAAGCTCTTTAAGAGGGAAGGGATAATCTTCAAATATATTTACGTAATAAACTTTTTTTGACTCATCCCTTTTTGTGAGTGAATTGACGTAAATATAATCTCTGTATTTTTGAAATCATATAAAATCATTTAATCTTGAAATGTCTAGATGTGCGCCAAAAAATTTTTTTGAGAAAACGCCAAAATTTAAAATCTGGCATTTTTCGAGTACAATCGAACCTCGTTTTTAGGAAACATCTTTGTGACTGAGAAATCGTAGCTTATGAGTGGGTTCTTTAAATGGAGGGTGTATTTTCTAGGACTGGCGGTCTGCAAATTTCTGGTCCGCAAAATACGGATCCGCAAATCTCAGATCCGCAAAATTTCGAGTCCGCAAGTTCGATCCGCAAAGTCCGGCGCCGAATTTTCTTTGTTTTGAGATAGCCCTACTCCTTCCCTTTAAATGCCAACCAATTAAAAGAAAAGCTTATTTTAAATTGAGTATTACTTCATTTCGGAGGACGCCGAATCTTTTAGAAAAGGATTCAATAATGGAACCGGGCTTATAAGCCCTTAAAGAAAATTTGGCGAGCTACAAAATGGCATAAAATTATCAAAAAATATTAATAAGGAAAAAATATGATGAGATGAAAAGTGCCCGGTTAATTTTTTGTCACCCTATATAAAAAATCTAATTTTGCGCACATCTGGAGAATAAAAGTTGTAAATAAATAAATGTTTATTTTTTATGCTTCTAAAATTAGTAAGATTCTTTTTATTTTTTTAATATAAAGAGTACTTTATATAAAAGCTATTTTACAAACATTCTCAATAAATATATTTGATCATCTTTCTCTTCAAAAAAAAGCTTTTATGTTTAAGAAGAAAAATGCTTTTTTTGAGTCAAAAAAAGAAGAAGAAGCATCTCTCCCACAGACAGCCAACCAGTCAGTCTTTTATACCAAAACATAAATTATATATTACATCTTCTTCAACTCCTCCACCGTTATATATTTATGTTCCTCTCGTTCAGGGCTGTCCGCAAGTGAAAAAAAATTTCCGCATCTGCAGTCCGCAATTTTATTTTTAAAATCCGCAGTCCGCAAGTCGAAAAACACGCAATTTTACGCAATTCGCAATACGCAATTGCGGACAGCCCTGCTCCCGTTTCTTTAAAATTTGTTTAAAATTACCCCTTAAATGATCAAATTGTTAGCTAAAACGTTAAGACTCTAATTGCCCTTTTGAGGTAATTTCTTAGAGCCGTCTTTCTTGGGTAGTAAGATTTTGCGGGATCCCGTCTTGCACTTTTCTTAACTTACGGGATTTTGCGGGAGTGCGGGATTATTCCCACTGGATCCCGTCCCGCAAAGATTAAAAAAATCCCGCATGCGGGGTCGCGCAAGCACTGTTTTGCTGGTCACTAGTAGGGTTGACGTTTTCAGGTCGGGCTGACGCTTGAGACATTTTTTTGATTAGACGAGATTTTTGGAGTCCACGGAAAGGAGAGTCACTAGTTCAAACACTAATTATCTTTATGAGTTGATAAATAACAGTTTAAAGTTTCTTGTACTCTGGCTCCTTCCGAGGACTCCAAAAATCTCGTCTAATCAGTTCACAAACAGATTCATTTGTTGATTTCTCATCTGTCTGATCTGTTTAGGTGTTGATTATTTAAGTAAATTAGTCGCTCTTTTACATGTGTGTGACCCGTTTTTTAATTACAATTCATCGCAATCTCTCCCCGTTACAATAGAAAAATGACTGGTTTTGTTTTGTTTTCGCGCACTTTGTAGTATTCTCTCTTTTCTTTTTTGACACTTGTTTATATATTTTTTTGTCAATTTTCTTTAATTAAAGATTTTTAGTTTCTATTTTAAATAGGGAAAATTTTTTTTAAAAACCTTTTAAAAATCAATTTTAATTTACTAGGTTGCCAGAGATCTTAATTATTATTGGCGTTTTGATTTTTTGGCGTTTTTTGCGTTTCCTGGCGTTTTGACTTTGGCGTTTTTTGGCGTTCTGATTTTTTTGAGATTTTGAGTTTTTGGCGTTTTGACTTTTGTGTTTTGGGTTTTTGGCGTTTCGATTTTTTGCGTTTCATTTTTTTGGCGTTCTGGTATTTGGGCGTTATGATTTTTGGCATTTCGTCTTTTGGCGTTTTAGTTTTTTGATGTTTCGGAGTTTTTGGCGTTTTGTATATTTTTTAATTTTTGCGCACATCCTTAAATTCTTAAAGATATTCTTTGTTTGTTTTAAAAATCAGAATTTTCTTTTTTTCAGAACTTTTTTCTTTTCACTTAAAAATTCTTTTCTTCTTTTTAAATGGATTCCCAAGAACAATTTCAACTAGAACCTATAAAACTAGCTGTAATAATTAATTTTTTGGTATTTGCTGGATTTTCTAATTGGGTAGCTCTTGCATATATACATGATTTTATTGGAAGGTGTTTTTTTTTAATTTTTTGATTAAAGGGAGGAATCTCAACATAAGAGACCCCTAAAATTGAATACACTGTAATAAAAAGGAGGTATATTATAAGGAGGTTTTTTTAGAATTAGAGGGCTATTGGGTGAGGAACCCTCCGTTTAAGTGATACCCTCTAGTTAAGTGATACCCTTTATTTAAACGATACCCTCTATTTAAATAAACCCTTTTGGAAGCCAACCCTTTAGATTGACCTCCTTTGGGAAGCCAGCCCTCTATCTAAGCGATACCCTCTATATAAGGTACACCTTATTATAAGGCGATTTTTCTGCCCCAAGGGGGTATCTTTTAATGAAGTTCGCCTGTATAACAATTCTAATCTTTTAAATTTTAAAGGAATCCTCTTCCAGATATCATTTTCCATTTTATTGATGAACAACCTTGGGCCATTCCCCTCGGTGATTTTATGGTTATGTTGTGCTCAATTTCTTTAATTTTGTTATTTATTTTTCACAAACACAGAATTGTGGTTATTAGAAGAATACTTTTTATTATTGCTTGTTTGTATTCTTTTAGGACGGTTATGTAGGTTTTCTTTTAATTTTAGATTCAAGTACCCTTTCTAATAGACGGGCGGAGTCGTTAGAGGATGGGTTACCTTAGAAGGGTGTCTATTGGAGAGAGGTTTTAATTAGAGAGGGGTGGGTCTTCTATATTTTCCTTACAAAAAGGATGTCTTATTGGAGAGAGGCCTGATTTTTAATTTAAGCACCCCCTCCAATAGACGGATTCGGCAAAGGACGGGTTATTGTTCGAGGCGTCTATTGGAGAGGTTTTATGTTTTGAATTAGAGAGGGTTGGATCTCTGATATTCTACTTCACAAAAAGGGCATCTTTTATTGGAGAGGAGGAGCTTTTATTAAAATAGGTTAGAAAATCAAGGGGACCTGTAGAGAGAGGGAGAGAGGCACTTAACGTCTGGCACTGAACCGTCCAGTCAGAAAATTTTAATTAAAATTTTTTTTCATTTTTAGGATGTTAGTAACCCAACTACCAGCAGGGTATAAAAACAACGAAGTGCGTTGTCGACCTTCAATAAATAAAATAAATAGAACTTTATCAATTTACTTAATAAGAACATTAGAACAAACAATACATGTTGGATTACAAGATAATTCAAAACAAATGCTTTGTGGCGATTTTTTATTCTCTGGGCATACTTTAATTATGGTAAGTTAGGGAGTTTAAGTTGATTTTTTGGTTGAGAAAAAATTTTTTAAATTGGAAAAAAAATTTTTTTTTGAATTTTTAAAATTTTTGGGGAATAAGGGGACGTTTGGGCGCAAAACTGAAAAGGCGCGCATTTTAATAAAATAGTTTAAGAATCACTTGTTGATATGAAAATTTTGTTGAAATGACCACAATAGTGTTATTTAACGTGTCTAAAATTATCAAAAATTTTGGTTTTAGTATAAAAGAGTTATTGGAGAAATAGTTAAATTTCTTCATTAAAATTTGGTTTTTTGATTATAACTTGAATTATTTTTGTTCAAAAATTCTAAAATTTCTAGAGGGCCTAGATAACACTATTGAGGACTACTGTGCAAATTATTGAGGTTCTAGGTTCTCTTATAGGGCAGTTTTGCTCGTTGGCGCCAAAAACGCACCGGCGCCGAAAAGTTATGAATTTAAAAAATTCTTTTCTTTCAGGTGATTTCAGCCCTTTCAATATCCAAATATATCGATAGAAGATTTAAATATATAAAATGGTTTCCTTTTTGTTTTGCTTTGATAGGCATTCCATGTATGGTTATTAGCAGGTTTCTTTTAATTTTGAATTTATTGAGAAAAATTTTTCGGGATAAATTTTTGAATTTTCTGAGGAAGTTTTTTATGGAGTAAAGGGACGTCTGGGCGCAAAATTGCAAAGGCGCGGAATTTAATTTTTGAAAAAAATTTTTTTTAATTTTTTAGGAAATTTTTGAAAATTTTAAAAATTTCTGAAATTTTCTGAAAAATAAAAAATCAAAAAATTTTTTAAAGGACTCATTATACCTGTGATGTTATTATTGCATTATTGGCATCAAAAGCCTTATTTATGTAAATTTTTTTAATTTTTTAAAATTAAAAAAAATTTTTTCATTTAAAGATTTTATCACGCTTTTTGTGAAATTGATTCCCTCCAACAAAGAAAACGTTCTGTTCTACATTCTCTTTGTTTTACAAAAATAATATTTTGGTTGGAAGAAAATGTTGATAATCAAAAGTATTTTTAAATTAAATAATCAGCAAATAATGTCCGCAAAAAGTTGGATTATTCTGATTTTATTTAAAAATCAGAATTATTTATACCGTATTGTCTCTAATAGAAGCCCATCTCCAATAGAAGCCCATGCCCTAATAGAAGCCCACTCCATAGGGGGTATTGAAAAATAAAGGCCCATGCCCCAATAGAAGCCCATGCCCTAATAGAAGCCCACTCCATAGGGGGTATTGAAAAATAAAGGCCCATGCCCCAATAGAAGCCCATGCCCTAATAGAAGCCCATCTGATTTTTGACTATCTATTTTTCTATTACTCGTGTCATAGTCGACTAAAGGATAACAAAATTCCAGTCTCCAAAAATGAGTATAAAAGGATTTGAATGGAATATCGGAAGATTCGGATGAGTTAAGTAAAATTTAAGGTGAATTAAGAGAATTTAGAGAAAGATAAATGCGGGTTTAAAAAGGTATCTAAGGAATTGTGGTATAGAGACTATTGTATGATTCAGTGGGATATCGTTGGCTATCAACAAATTAATAGGAATATTCAGAGATTAAATATTGAGAGATTTGGTATTGAGAGATTTGGTTGACAAGGATTCAACTACTTCCGTGCACATACCTCGGTTCTTCAATATCGAGAGATCCCTCGATAGATAGAGGTATCATTAATCCTTTTATATTTTTCCATTGAGGATATGGAAGGGATTAATAAATTAAGGCACTTAAGAAGGAGATTAAGTATACTAGAAGAAAGAGCATATCGGAAGATTAAAGTGGGATATTGTTAAAGATAAGGTGTAAAAATATCGAGGAATATTTTGGAATTAAACGGATATTTATAATTAAGATGGATTTAATGAAGATGGATATGTAGCTTAATCTGATCATTCAGGAGTTCATTAATAGTGATTTGCGGGATTAGAAGGGATTTACTTATTACTATGTTGAGGAAAAGGAGTTTTAGTGATATTTATATTGATTTTGATATTTAATTTTTATATTCATTTCTGTTTTCTTCCTGCCAAGCAGTTAATTTTTGTTGCCTTTATTTTTTATCTTCTATAAAATTTCGATATTGAAAAATAAAAGCCCATGCCCTAATAGAAGCCCATGCCCTATTAGAAGCCCAGTCAATGAGGGGTATTGAAAAATAGACGCCCAGGGCTTGTATTAGAGATAATACGGTAATTTAAAAAAATCAGAATTATGAATTTATTCTGATTGGATTGTTCTGATTTTAAAACTCTGTTTTCTGGTTTTTTTCTGGTATAAAAAATCAGAATTCTGATTTTATTATTTTGTTTTTAAAAATTTCTGATTTTAGAAAAAATTCTTTATTCTCTTTTAAAAACCAGAATTCTAAAGACAGAATTCTGATTTAACAATTCTGTTTTTTAATCTGTTCTGGTTTTACTGAAAAATTCTATTTTAAAAGAGAATCAGAATTCAGATTTAATTTTTTCTGGTTTGAAATTAGAATTTCCCTCTTAAAAATTCTGTTTTCAAAACAGAATTCTGATTTGACAAATTTAAGAAAATTTCTGGGGTATTCTGTTTAAAAAAATCAGAATTTTTATTTTTCAAAAGACAGAATTCGAATTCTGATTTGTAAATTTTCTAATTTAATTTTTTCTGGTTTTGAGAAATCAGAATTCTGGACATTAAAATTCTGATGAATAATCTAAAATCAGAATTTTGTTTTTAATTCTGATTTTATTATTTTTTTAAATTTCTGATTTTACAAACCAGAATTCTGATTTTTAATCCTTCTCTCTTACTTAAAAAATTTTCTTTTTTAAAGACTAAAAAACGAATTTGAAATTCCACTAATTGGTAATTATTTGCTACATCTTCACAAAGAAAATCGCAGAAATAATGTACAAGATTTAAATAAATCAATGGTATGGTAAGAAAAAAAATTGAAAAAAATTTTTTTTTCAATTTTTTAAAAAATTAGAGCAGCAATTCTTCTTCAATAACAACAGCAGCAGTGGAAAGTGTTTAAAAAAGGAAAAGAAAAAATAATTTAAATAAAAATTCGAGATCTCTACAAAAATAAAAAATATATAATTTCTTCTTTTGGTTGTTGGAGAAAAAAAAAAGAAAAAATGGTCAAGAAAAGAATTTAATTATTTTTAAAAAATTACGAGTGTTTGTGTGCCTTTTTAAATTTTTATTTTAACAAAATACAGTCGAATCTCTCGTCATAATAAATATAAAATCTTAAAATCCGCATTAAAATGGGGGGAGTTTTTTTTAAATATGGTTGGCCTTTGGTTAAGTATAGGGTTGTCTGTTCCTGAAAAATCTTCGGGTATCCAGATCCGAACTGAAAAATCTCGGTTCTTCGTGTCGGTCCAGAACTGACAACCCTATTTGAGTATGAGTGCTTAAGCGATACCTTCATTTTAGTGTACTAATTTGTAAGGGAAAAAGGATTCCTTCTGTCTTCCTCCAAATTCCGTCTTTGCCTGGCCATTTCGTTCTACCTTTCTTTGATATTTTTTCTGTTCTCCCCTGGGTACTACTGAAGAAAAGGGTGCTTTTTCTGCGGACTTATTTTGCGGACTTTTCCTTTCCTTCTTTTTTTTTTTTTAAAAGATAATGTTTTAGCTTGTAGCAAACTAACTGTCAAAGGATTAATTTTTATTCGCACAAATATTTTTGATTATTTGTTATTTGTGAAATTAAATGAAAAAAACAGTCATCTCCTCCAAATTTCTGTTTCCATACAAACTCATTCATATAACTTTCAAACGTTGTTTCAGCAGTGTTTTTCTGCATACTGATTTCTTACATATCCATCTTCCATTTTGTCCACGCTTCTCTTTACGCATTTCTTTTCCACAATCACATGTTCTTTTTCTATGAAGCATTCCGAGATCAGTGATCCATTGTTGAAATTCATCGGGTGAGGGGTAAAACGAGGAATTCCAAAACACGGAACAGACAGAACACGGAACGACAAAACGAGGAACGGACAAAACACGGAACGACCAAAATACGGACCATACCAAAACGAGGAACAGACAAAAGGCGGTCTTACCAAAACACGGAACGGACAAAAGGCAGAACGTCCAAAACACGGTCAAGAGAAATAATAATTCTTTATGATTTTTAAAATATTTTAAATACTATCAAAAAATGATTATCAAAAATGATAAAATTTTTAAATCAAATTATTTCTAAAAATCAGAATTTTTCCATTTTTTAAATTCCGATTTTTAAAATATTTCTGATTTTTAAAGAATTTTGATTTTAAAAGATTGATTTTAAAAAATTCTGATATAAAGAAACATTCTGATTTAAAGAAACTCTGATTTAAAGGAATATTTTGATTTTAAAAAATTCTGATTCATAGAAATATTCTGATTAAAAAATTTCTGATTTAAAAAAATTCGGATTTTAAGAATATTTCTGATCTAAAAACAAGTATTTTAAATATTTTTTTGATAATACTATTTAAAATATTTTTAAAATCGTAAAGAATTATTATTCCCCTGGACCGTGTTTTGGTCGTTCCGCATTCTGGCCGTTCCGTATTTTGGTAATTCCGTGTTTTGTCTGTTCCGCGTTTTGGTATGGTCCGTATTTTGGTCGTTCCGTGTTTTGGTAATTCCTCGTTTTGTCGTTCCGTGTTCTGTCGTTCCGCGTTTTGTCTGTTCCTCGTTTTAGCCCGACACGAAATTCATCATTGGGTAATTTAATTTTATCATACAATTTAGTTAAAGTAAAATTTTTTATTGATTGTAACATTTTTTTCGTTTATAACCAGCTTAAGGATAAATAGCTGAATGGGTTTGATAGCTTTAAAATTTAGTTACGCCGGGAAAGCGTTTAATTATAATTGGAGGCGCGTCCATGGACGCGCATTGAAAGCCTGCGGCTTTAAAACTGTGCTAGGTTTATTCTTTGCTTGGAGATTTACGTTAAATGTTTTAGTTTATTTCGGAACGTTTTTTTGAAATTAAAAGGGCACCCTTACTTTTAGATGGAAGTGTCCTCCTCCCCAACGTTGGGACCCATTTTTACAATTTGGCGCACTTCGGGCCTTCGGCCCTCGTCCCCCCCCCCCCCACCGTTGGAACCTATTTTTACAATTTGGCGCACTTCGGGCCTTCGGCCCTCGTCCCCCCCCCCCTCCCCACCGTTGGGACCCATTTTTACAATTTGGCGCACTTCGGGCCTTCGGCCCTCGTCCCCCCCCTCCCCACCGTTGGGACCCATTTTTACAATTTGGCGCACTTCGGGCCTTCGGCCCTCGTCCCCCCCTCCCCACCGTTGGGACCCATTTTTACAATTTGGCGCACTTCGGGCCTTCGGCCCTCGTCCCCCCCCCCCTCCCCACCGTTGGGACCCATTTTTACAATTTGGCGCACTTCGGGCCTTCGGCCCTCGTCCCACCATCCTCCTCACCGTTGGGACCCATTTTTACAATTTGGCGCACTTCGGGCCTTCGGCCCTCGTCCCACCATCCTCCCCACCGTTGGGACCCATTTTTACAATTTGGCGCACTTCGGGCCTTCGGCCCTCGTCCCACCCCCTTCCACATCGTTGGGACCCATTTTTACAATTTGGCGCACTTCGGGCCTTCGGCCCTCGTCCCACCCTCCTCCCCACCGTTGGGACCCATTTTTACAATTTGGCGCACTTCGGGCCTTCGGCCCTCGTCCCCCCCTCCCCACCGTTGGGACCCATTTTTACAATTTGGTGCACTTCGGGCCTTCGGCCCTCGTCCCACCATCCTCCTCACCGTTGGGACCCATTTTTACAATTTGGCGCACTTCGGGCCTTCGGCCCTCGTCCCCCCCCCCCTCCCCACCGTTGGGACCCATTTTACAATTTGGCGCACTTCGGGCCTTCGGCCCTCGTCCCACCCTCCTCCCCACCGTTGGGACCCATTTTTACAATTTGGCGCACTTCGGGCCATCGGCCCTCGTCCCACTCTCCTCCCACCCCGTTGGGACCCATTTTTACAATTTGGCGCACTTCGGGCCATCGGCCCTCGTCCCACTCTCCTCCCACCCCGTTGGGACCCATTTTTACAATTTGGCGCACTTCGGACCTTCGGCCCTCGTCCCACCCTCCTCCCCACCGTTGGGACCCATTTTTACAATTTGTTCCAAAGTTGCTCCCCTTTAAAAAATTTCCAATGTAACCATTTTCCCCACTCTGACTCAGGTATCCCAGCGCCAGACTCAAATAACCCCCTCAAAACAAATCTCGTTTAATGCGCTTTTGTATGCTCTATCAAAACCCCTTGGTCCTATCCAGCTACGATTCTCCATTAAAAAGTTACAGTCGAAAAACTATTAGAGTCTGGGCTGGACACTTCAGTCTCACGGGGCTACAGCCTCCCCCTTTGATATTTTTCAAAAAAATTTTTTTTATTCGACATCTACTAAATGCGGGTCAGGGCCCTCTAAGCGGAAGTTTTCCGCTATCTCTTCCCGTTCACGAGTTAGCCAGGTCCCAGGGGTCGTTTCGGCGCAAAGACGCCGGTGCAGGGGAAAATCAATAATTATTCCAGATGCACCTGATAAAGTACCTGAGGCAATGTGCAACTTTCAGGGACCTTTAGGCAAAACTGTAACCCCTAGAGTTTTTTATCTGAGTTTAAAAACTATTATATATATATATAATGTTTAAATTATTTGTGAACGACATTTTTCAGACCGGCATAAAAAATAATCCGTTGACTGTTAGTTGCTATAAGCAAAACCTCTGTTATACATACAACTGATTTTTTCTGTTTTCATCCCCAAGAACGAGATTCGACTGTATATTTATACGGGTTCTGTATTTGTGAGAAAAGAAGGAACTTATATACTTTAGGTACGCTTTTTTTAACAACACACTTTTTCCTTTTTTTTCATCAATCAACCATAATTTTTACGGAATGGTCAGCCTTTCTTTTCCCATTGATTTCACTTAATTTTCCCTGTGGCATGTTCAATAAGAGAAATGAACTAATAGAAGATTAAGTTTTCTTTCTAATTTCACCAGAATTATAAATTACACACCACATTTTGGACAAGTTTGGACCCCAGTATCAGCTCAGGGATATTACAAACTGATTCTGGTACATTCGACATAGCTCGATGAGCTCAAACTACTTATTCAGACTTTTTTGTACATCTTAGACATGTTTAATCTAAAATACCTAGTATATTATAAATAAATTTTGAAAATAAAAATTATGAGCTGAATAGAAAAGGAGAAAAGGGAGAAAGAAAGGCTGACCATTACGTAAAAATTATGGTTGATTGATGAAAAAAAAGGAAAAAGGGCGTTGTTAAAAAAAGCGTACCTAAAGTATATAAGTTCCGAAAAGAAGAGTTGTCGGTTTCTTTGTCCGTTTTCGGTTAAATGAAGTACTTGTTGAAGCCGATACCCTATTTTTGTAGAAAAAATTTTTTGTTTTTTGAAAATTTGCGAATAAATGGCTTACATATTTAGTTTTTTGAATTAAATATTTAAATTTTATTTAGTATACTTACATATTTGTTCTGATTTTAAGACAGACTTTAAGATGTTGCAACAACTATTTCAAATATTTAACTTGTTTCTTTAGGCAAGAGGGATTTTTTTACCCTAGAAATTGGCCAATAAATAGGGCCTAATTTAATGTTAATTACTTGCTCTCCTTGTTTTACCTTATCTCTCATAATGTTAATTTTAAATGTCTAACCTTTTGTGGTAAATAGTGGGGAGATAATGAGAGAGAATAAAATAAGGAGAGAAGAAAGGGAAAAGAAAAAGAGAAAAAATAAGATAATTGTGGAGAGACAATTAAAATTTTAGATTTTCGTGGTGAAACATTAATTTTTCCAAAATGACATTTGATTCAATTTACAAATTTTTCTAGAAATTTTCTTACTAAAATTTTTTGTATTTTTGTTCCTAGGTGTTTTTTATGTTGATTTTCTACTTTATAGACTGTTTAAAATGTTTTCTCTTGCACCTGAAACTCAACTTGACGTATTAAAATGCTGCAATTTCGAACAATTATTTTCTCTTAAACAAACCAATTTTTACTTTCGCAATTTCATAAATAAATACGAGGGGGAGTTGGCACGGATGAAATTCTATAAACTCTCACAGGTATTGTAAAGCTTATAGCTATTTATTTTCTAAGGCTGTGCAGGCAGAGGTGAATCGGAATTCTGATTTCCGACAGTTCCGATTTCCGGCACCTTCATAATTTCCGATTCACCTCTACTGTGCAGTAGGCGGCGTCTGGGGGTAACATCAGTCCGTTCTACTGAAGATGCTGGTTCGCTCCCAGCCGCCGAAGAACCTCTTGCACTAGCTAAAGGAGAGAAATAGCTATAGCTTGGCTGCTTTACTAATTTACTTGACTTAAAAATTAATTTTAGATTGGAATCAAAATGATCGATAGTTTAGAGAAGGACTCTTATAAAATCATCAAACTTGGACCTGTAGTTTTTGAATTTATGATGAATGATCAACTTGTAAAGAAGGTTAAATTAATTTTTAATTTTGATTGGATTTATTGTATTTTTTCAGTGGAGGACAGCGATAGCTGAATCTGTTCCTCTGTTTTTGCATGGGGTTAGGGATGATTCTGCTGAGTCTGACGATGAATCTGAAGATGATAATGAAGAGGAAACTGAAGATGATAATGAAGAGGAGGATGATAACGTTGAAAATGATATTAAAGACTTTACTGTTCAATTGATTAAGCCAGGTTTGTGAATAATTCATTAAACTCATTTTATGTGGCTTATGTGGCTACTTCCGAAGCTAGTGAGGGCACATACATGTAATAAGAACGACTAAGGTTGCCGGTTTCAAATAGGGTTGCACCCCGACCGCTTGATGGGTTTGCCATGACTGACAAACTGTTATCGTTCATAGCAACCGCCAGGCCCGTAGCCAGGATTTTTTTTCGGGGGGGGGGGGGAGGGGGGAATTTTTTTGCGCCAATTTTTTGGCGCCGAAGGCGCCAAAAATTTTTATTTTCAGCGCCGCAGGCGAAAATTTTGAGAATTTTAGAAGGCCGTAGGCCAAAAAAATTCACTTTTTCGGCGCCGCAGGCGCCAAAAATTTGATTTTCAGCGCCGCAGGCGAAGATTTTTTGAATTTTGGACCTCAAGAAGCCAGATTTCGTCCTTTTTTAGCGCCGCAGGCGAAAATTTTTTAAATTTCAGAGGCCGTAGGCCAAAAAAATTCACTTTTTTTGCCCCAGCCCTTCCCCATTTTTTTCCATTTTCCCATTTCGGGGGGGGGGGGGGGAATTCCCCCCCCCCACCCCCCCCTGGCTACGGGCCTGGCAACCGCACCCTGACAAACCTGTCCTCGAGCTGCCCAGGTGCAACCCTAGTTTCAAACCGAACCGAAAAAACTAAGATTTTCGGGTTGGTTGCGTTTAACCGAAGAATCTAGTGGAACTGACAACTTTACAATTATTCTAGATGAGGCCTTTGGACTTTTCCTTCCTATTCCAATCTTTCTCTCTCCATACTCCCCTCTTGTCAGCCTTGACAAAAATTTTGAATGTCAAATTAATCCATACTAGATTCTTGTTATATACCTGAAGGGAATTGGACTTCAGATTTTACCTGAAGGGAATCCGACTTCAGATTTTTAGCTACTTCCGATTTCCGACAGTTCCGATTTCTGATACCTTCGTCGTTTCTGATTCACCTCTGTTATACACTGCGTTCTTATCAAGCCGTTCTTATTAAGACATTTTCTATTTAGGGGACAAGAAATTTCGATACATTCTGAAAATGCCAAGAATTCCAAAAAATCTAGAACAAATGATTGTTATTCGATGTTGGCTAGAACAACTTTTAAATTGTGCTTTTGAAAATGCTCACAATATTATATTTAATCCACAAATGATTGATTTATTATTTGGTAACGACAAAACAATTCTTAAACAATTTCACGTTCAAAGCTTCTATTTAGAAGCTAGGAATAATACAATCGAAAATTTTTTGAAATTTGGTCTAAATCGTTTCGCAATCTATAAGGATTTTACAATCGTCTTTAGAGACGACATTTCAAAGCAAAATGAGGATATTTTATTCAATATTATAATAAATGAAGGCAATAAATTACCTCAAGTTTGCTTCGGTGATTTTGATTCTTTCAGGCTTTATGATCTTATTGTTGAAGTAAGTTATCAAGCAGTGGTTGGAAGCTCGTACCAAAATTTGTACTAGTACCTGTGTCAGGGTAGCCCTTTTACCACCTTTAGGGAGCATTTTCCTCCTTTTTGACTTTTCCGCCCCCTTTTTCCTCCTCATTTCTTCTGCTACCTTTTTGCCACATTTTTGTGTGGTCATGCCCCCTTTTGGTGATTTGTAAACTCTCAAGTACGAGAAAGTACGAGGTAATAGTACGCGGAGCAGTTCAACTGAGTCCGCACGATTGAGTCCCCACGATTGAGTCCGCACGATTGAGTCCCCACGATTGAGTCCCGGCACAATTGAGTCCCCACGATTGAGTCCGCACGATTGAGTCCCCGTTGTATATACCTCAATTGAGTCCCCGTTAAAAATTCCCGGTAGGAATTTTTATTTTCCTAGATTTTTTTATTGTTTTTTTTTATTTTTTTGTTTTTCTTTTGGGGTTTGCAACTAATTTTGTTAATTAGTTGACCGAGCATCCACTCAAGTCCATCCGAGCACTGAATTTTCTCAATGAGGACGAGAGGGAGGACGAGAATCTTGTGTAGGTAAAAGTTTAATTTTTATTTTTTAATTTTAGATTTTATATTTCAGGTTGGTCTAACTTTGCTCATCACGTGTCGGACTTCATCCCACGGCTGCAACGATGGGAAATTTGAAAAGGTTTGGAATTTTTATTTTGTTTTTCGTTTTATTTTTAAAATTTTTTAGTTGATTTTCGTCAGTTTCTGACTGGCGATTTTCAAGTTCACAGTTTCTGAAGGAACGAAGGTGGTGAACTTAGGAGAACAAAAAACGAAAGAAAGGCCCTTCTTTGGCACAATAATTGAAGCTAGACTTTGGTTTTTTTTAATTTTTTTGATAAAATTTTTAAAAAATATTTTTTTATTTTTTTTTTTTACATTTTGATTTTCTCCCGTATCCAGGTAAATTCTGCCGGAGTCCGGAAATTAGGAAGGAGTTTTTACGTTCGTAATTTAGATAGTTCCCCTACCCTCCATAACAGCACAAAAAGTTTTTCCAGCGAAGATTCTGTTGGTCAAAATTTGTTCAGAATCATTCAATCAACTTGATTTTGGTCTTATTCTTATTCAACTCATCTCGTCGATCCCTTTCGAATGAGCTATTTTTTGTTTATTCGAATGTTTCGCAACAAAAATTCCCCATGGAATTCCACCAAAAAATCCACCATTTCGAGCCCCATATCTCGGCGAGAACTTGTTCAACAATGTTGATTTTGGTGTCATTCGACTCACTACTTTCGAATGAGCTGTCATTCAAAAAATCTCTCGATATCCCTCCTAATCCCCAAACCCACAATATCCATCTTAATCTCTCCGAATTTGTTGATATCTGCCTTAATTCAACCGATATCCCCGCTTAAATCTACTTATATCCCTTGATATTCACCAATATCCATCTTGATACCTCGATGTCGGTTACAAGTCCCCTGATATTAACATTAATCCCTCCAAATCCCCAAATATCCCTCTTAATCTTTTTTAATATAATTAAATCTAGGGGACTCAATTGAGGTATATACAACGGGGACTCAATCGTGCGGACTCAATCGTGGGGACTCAATTGTGCCGGGACTCAATCGTGGGGACTCAATCGTGCGGACTCAATCGTGGGGACTCAATCGTGCGGACTCAATTGAGGTGTACCGAATAGTACGAGGTCAAAAATAGGGCTTGTACGAGGTACGATCCAAAAATAAGGCATGTATGAAAGTACGAGTACGAGCAAATTTAAAACTTTCAACCACTGGTTATCAGCCTGTTTGAGTACCTAAATAAAATTTAAATTTTAGTATATAACAACATCAAAAGATTTTTCAAAAATGGTGTGTCGTATCTTTTTATTTTACCATTCACTCCAGAATTTTAAATTACCCAAGAGTGCAAAAAATGTTAAAAAAGAAGGAAACTCTACAGAATACGAAATTGTCAATATTTATAATCCAAAAATGAAATTCTCATTTTCCAATACTCCTGATAGGCCAGCTGATATTTATATCAGAAAAATGGAAGAGTAGAATTTAAGAGGACATTATAAAATTTTTTTGTTAATTTATTGGACAACAAAATATTTAAAATATTATTTAATTTTCATTAATTTTAAATTTAAATTTTTTGTTTTATTTTCATCATTTTTTAGCAGTTTAAAACCTGCCTATTTTATTTTGAATTATTTTCAAACTTTAATTTTCCAATTTGGCGCGCGGCCATAACACCGCAAAGCCATAACTAGCTGTAAAATTTCTTGTCCTTATCAATTTCAGTACCAATCTCTTTAGCTCGATGAAAGGAATCGTTATGCGTCCCCTCTAATTCTCCTTAAATAAAAATTTAATTTTCTCTTTTCATTTTACATGTCTCTTAAGTTACATTTTAACATGTCTAACATTTTGTGGTAAATAATTCCGAGGAAGTGGGAGAGTGTAAAAATGATGAGAGAAAATAGAGAAATGAAAAAGAATAGACAATGTTGGATAGACAATTAAATTTCTAATTTTCGTTGTGGAAATTTTTTCCAAAAATTGACATTTGATTCAATTTGCAAATTTTCTAGAAATTTTTTTGTTCCTTTTTTGTACCTAGGGTTTTCTTTATGTTGATTCTAAACTTTATTTTTTAGACTGTTTAAAATGCGTTCGCTTCCAATTGAAGTTCAACTCGATGTTTTAAAATGTCTAAATTTCGAGCAATTATTCTCTCTTAAACAAGCCAACTTTTATTTTCGGAACTTGATTAATAAATATGAGGGAGGATTGGCTCGAATGGAATTCTTTGATTTGTCACTGGTATAAATATTAACTTTTGATTTTAAAATTAATTTTAGATTGACGTTGAAACTATCGACAGTCAACAGCCTAGTCCTTTTGTATTCATTGATCTTGAACCTGCAATTTCTGAGTTTGTTTTGGATGAGCATCTTAAGGAGAAGGTTAAATTATTTTCAAATTTTAGGCCCTATCCAGAAAGAAGGGTCGAATCGTTTTTTCCTTACTTTTTATTTCTTCATAAAAATGGTCAATTTTCCTTAAAGTTGATGGGTATCACGACTTTTGCGCCGAGAACATTTGCGCCGCGACTTTTGCGCCGCGACTTATGCGCCGGGCGACTTTTGCGCCGCGACATATGCGCCGCGACTTTTGCGCCGGGCGACTTATGCGCCGCGACATTTGCGCCGCCATAATTTTAAAAAATAATATCTACAGTCGGAACTAATTATAATGCACTCCTTAAAAATGGTATCCAGGAGCTGAAGGAATTTTAGGAAGTACAATATTTCGGGAAGTAGCCCCCTCTAATAAACCGACCCCCTAGAGGAAGGCTGAAAAATAAACCGACCCTCTAGGCAGGTTATGTTCCAAGAACTTGACTTTTTCAAATCAGGATATTTGGTCTGTTACCCCCATTCGGCATGATTTTCTGCCAGAATGGGGTGCACTATAGTGTAGGGTTGTCGTTTCCAGATATCCGGATTTGAAATTTTAGGTCGGATATCGGATCCGGATCTTGATATCCGAAGATCTCCAACTATCCTACATCTTCTATAGTGAGGTCCGGCCGTAGTATTTCATAATTATTAATGGTAGTGGCGGCGCAAAAGTCGTCCAGCGCAAAAGTCGCGGCGCATAAGTCGCCCGGCGCAAAAGTCGCGGCGCAAAAGTCCCCCGGCGCAAAAGTCGCTCGGCGCAAAAGTCGCGGCGCAAAATTCGCGGCGCAAAAGTCGCGGCGCAAATGTTCTCGGCGCAAAAGTCACGGAACCAGTTGATGTATGTTGATGTTTGCCTTAAGGAAGAATTGTGAAGGGCAGACAATGGCAGAAACACGTACTTACACAGAACAGGACGTGTACGTCCGTGTTTAGTCTGTCCGTGTCCGTCCGTGTTATGTCAGTCCGTGCTCGTCCGTGTTTTGTCGGTCCGAGTCTGTCCGTGTCCGTCTGTTGTCTGTCCGTGTTTTGTCAGTCCGTGCTCGTCCGTGTTTTGTCTGTCCGAGTCTGCCCGTGTTCGTCCGAGTTTTGTCAGTCCGAGTTTGTCCGTGTTTTGTCAGTCCGTGCTCGTCCGTGTTTTGTCTGTCCGAGTCTGTCCGTGTCCGTCTGTGTTGTCTGTCCGTGTTTTGTCAGTCCGAGTCTGTCCGTGTCCGTCTGTGTTGTCTGTCCGTGTTTTGTCAGTCCGAGTCTGTCCGTGTCCGTCTGTGTTGTCTGTCCGTGTTTTGTCAGTCCATGCTCGTCTGTGTTTTGTCTGTCCGAGTCCGTCCTGTTCTGTGTACGTAAGTGTTTCTGCCATTGTCTGTCCTTCTCCATTCTACCTTAAGGCAAACATCAACATACATCAACTTTAAGGAAAATTGACCATTTTTATGAAGAAATAAAAAGTAAGGAAAAAAACGATTCGACCCTTCTTTCTGGATAGGGTCAAATTTTACTTGTATTTTTTTAGTGGGAAACAGCGTTAGATAAATCTATTCCGTTGTTTTTGCATGCGGTTGAAGATGGTAGTAAAAGTTTTGCTGTTCAGTTGGAGAAGACAGGTTTTGAAAATTTGCATTTATAGGGGTTTTTAATATGTGAATGCATATGACTTATGAGGTGTCTCAGCTCGACGAGCTGAGTCGTATAAGTGGTGGTAGAAGTCGGTCCGGTACCAATGGGCTGAGATTCAGTAGAGCCCAGAATTTACCTCTACCTAGTTCTCTGAATACTGCACCTGTCTTTATTAAAACTTTTTTCTATTTAGTGGACAACAAACCCATTTATATTTTGAAGCTGCCAAACATCCCAAAAACCATAGAAGAAATGATTATTGTTCGATTTTGGTTGGAACAACTTTTTAATTGTAGTTTTGAAAAGGCCGATTTTAGAAATATTATATTTAATCCAACAATGATTAATTTATTATTTGATAATGACGAAACAATTCTTAAACAATTTCACGTTAAATGCATCTATTTATCATCTAGCAACAACAACAAGACAATCGAAAATATTTTAAATTTCGGCTTAATTCATTTTGCAATTTATGAGTCTTTAAACGACATCTTTCATGACAACCTTTCAGATGAACAAACAAATATTTTACTCAACATTATAAAAAATGAAGGCAAAAAATTACCTAAAGTTGTGTTCGTTTTTGAAAAATTTACAAAGCTTTATGATCTTATAATTGAAGTAAGTTATTTAAAATTAAAATTGGAAAGTAGTGATGGAGATAACCCTTCGGAGTCTTTTTGAAAATAATTTATAATTTTAGTTTATTACAACTTCTAAGAATGATTTCTCAAAAATGGTGCCTTCTATTACCTTAGGTGGTATTTTATTACATCATTTTAAATTGAACGAGAGAGCAGAAAAAGTTGAAAATATCCAAGACGGTGAATCAAAAATTACAAAATACCAAATTGCCAATATTTATAATCCAAAAGCGAGATTTTCATTTCATCATACGGATATTAACATGGAAATTGGAGATGGATGGGTTTTTATTGCTGAAATTGAAAAAATGGAAGAGCAGAAGTAAAAAGGATTTAAAATTTGTTGTTTAAATTTCATTGATTTTTGATAAAATTTTTTGTTTTAATTTATATTTCACCGTTTTTAAAGGTTAAAACCTGCCAATTCAATTTTTTAAAATATTTTAAAAAATATTTTCATCAAAATAATTTTTTTCACTTGTCGGGCTAAAACACTGAACGGATTTATTGCTGAATTTTTAAAAAATTCAGCTTTTTATTATATATGGAAAAATCCTGATATCAAAAATGAATTTTTGGTTAATTAAAATCTCTTGACCGTTCTTCGGTCGTTCCGTGTTTTGTCTGTTCTCTGTCATGGCGTTCCTTGTTTTGCCCCTCCCATTTTTTCAAGAAAATCCCTCCCATTTCATTATATTCAAATTTAATTTTTTCATGCCGCTCAACATTTCCCCATTTACCAAAGCTCCTTTTAACTACCGTATTTGCTCTATTAATCCCCCAGTCTTTATTAATCCCCCACCCTGGAGATGGGTTGAAACAGTAATCCCCCTGGGGGATTACTAGAGCAAATACGGTATTCAAATATTTGCCAATCATCAAAAAAAGTTCATCCTTTGTCTCCATATATAAACCAAACTTCTTTTAGTTTGTGTTGTCATTCATTCGACTTTTTTTATAAAAACCGTGACGCTACTTTTAGGGGATGTTTCCATTAAACATAAAGTTATTGAAAAAGCTTTGTAATAAAATCAACGGCTTATTAACGTTGTAAGACGCGATTTTTTTTATTTACTAATAAATTTGAGAATTTAGAGGCTGGACTTTTTTATATTTTTTAGAATTTTAAAATGCTTTTTCTTCCACCTGAAGTTCAACTTGATGTTTTAAAATGTCTTAATTTCAAGCAATTATTTTCTCTTAAACAAACCAATTTTTATTTCCGAAATTTAATTAATGAATGTGAGGGAGGATTGGCTAGAAAGGAATTCTTTAAACTAAAATTGGTAAACATTAACTCCCCGCGAGGCGCGTGCCGTAAAACCCCGCGCGAAGCGCGGGGTTTTGCTTCTAGTCTATGAATTCTAGTCTATGAACTAGAATTGGTTTAAATAAAAACTAAATTTTTTAATCTAAATTTTATTTAGATCGATTCCAGAAAAATCCAAAGTCAAGAGGTAATCATTAAGCTTCAACCCTTAGTTTCTGATTTTGTTTTGAGTGAGCATCTTAGGGAGAAGGTTAATTATTTTTTAAAGTTTACTTGCTTTTTTTTTCAGTGGGAAACAGCGTTAGCTAAATCTATTCCTTTGTTTTTGCATGGATTAGAAGATGATAGTGAAGACTTTGTTGTTCAGTTGAACAAAACAGGTTTTGAGAATTTTCACTTATAGGGAGGTTTCTATGCGTAGACGGATTTTTTTGCCAAAAATAAGCTTACTTCCCATATGCTTTTTCAATCACTAGTTTCCTCGGCTCTTGTCCAGTTCATGCGTCCCATAAAAATTTATGAGTCCCATGAAAATTTATGAGTCCCAAAAATAGTTTATGCGTCCCATAAAAATTTATGAGTCCCATGAAAATTTATGAGTCCCAAAAATAGTTTATGCGTCCCATAATAATTTATGCGTCCCAAAAATAATTTATGCGTCCCATAAAAATTTATGCGTCCCATGAAATGAATTGAAAAAATATTGAAAAATTAAAAAATAACATTTAAAATATGTGTTATAAGCAGGACTGGGCGCAATTGCGGATTGCGTAAATTGCGGGGTTTTTTGCAATTGCGAGTTGCGGATTGCGTTTGCGGATTTTTATGGTTTTCACGCAATTTTCACGCAATTTTTCGAAATTACCCTCACAACAAATGGAAAAAATTTGGCTTTTTGTCCTTTCCAAATTCTCAAAATTTTCGCCTGCGGCGCTGAAGACGGAAGAAATCCTTCGATCAAGATGATAGGATATTTAAGGATTTGGAGTTTTTTTGAGAGTAAGCATGGATTAATGGGGCCGGAGTGATATTGGGGGATTTCAATGTAGCAAGCAAGAGTTATAAAGGTATATCGGTGATTTGATATCTAGGGATCTGGTGGATTAAGGATAATTCGAAGAAATTCGGTGATCGAAGAGGATATCATGAAATTAGTGGATATCATGAACCTGCTTTCACTTAATCCTCCAAATCCCCTAATATCCCTCCTTATTCCCAACGTATCCCTCCTTATTAAGTACCCTTATTTCAGAACCTTTTTTATCGCCCGTTACCAATCACACTTATATAGTGTAAGAATGATTCATCCAGCAGCATTTAAAACGCTTAGGCGGGGGATAAACGATCTAAAAAGGAAAAAGAGAAAGCATTAGTCGATGCCCCGGTAGCTCAACGGTAGAGCTCCTGCATATAGTGAGCGAAAGCGCCTAGCAACAACTAGCAGGTGGTCGCAGGTTCGAATCCTGCCCGGTGGCTAAACTTTTGCAAACTCTTTCTATAGTTTGAAGTGATTAAATTTTTTATCTTCATTTTTAAAAATTGCGGATTGCGAGTTGCGGAAATTGCGTAAATTGCGGGGTTTTTTGCAATTGCGAGTTGCGGATTGCGAGTTGCGGAATTTTTTTTCAATTGCGCCCAGCCCTGATTATAAGCCTTGCTCAAGGGCCAACGATCTTATATAGTAATAAAACAAAAATGTTTATATCTGGTATTGTGTTCTTATTTCTTCCATTAAGAACTAAGAAAATAGGAAATTTCTGATGATAATGGAAGTTCGAGGGATTGAGGACATTTTCAAGGGAATGATTGATTTAGAGCGATATCAAGGAATAAGGATTTGAGATTGTGTCGGAGGACCATGACTGCTTTTCGGGGCAGTGTTACATTTTGGTTCCGGGCTCCTTGTGGAAAATCATTGATAATATTTCATCGTGATTTATTCGGCGGGATTTTCACCGGGATTAAGATAGATATTAGACCATTTGAGTGAATTAGGTATGCTGGATGTTGAGTGTCTCGGGATCAGGAATATCAGGATTGGGATTCAAAAAACCGTGATAATCGATCTATAATAATCCTGATCTCGATCGAGATCCCAATCAGGGCCAATCATTTCATAGGACGCGTAAATTATTTTTGGGACGCATAAATTTTTAAGGGACGCATGAATTATTTTTGGGACGCATATATTTTTATGGGACGCATAAAATATTTTTGGGACGCATAAATTTTTATGGGACTCATAAATTCTCTTGGGACGCATAAATCTTCATGGGACGCATGAACTGGACAAGAGCCGTTTCCTCTATATCGGTCCACAGTTACTGGACCACATGTCAGGTAACCTTCTATAAGCCTTCCCTTTTTTGACAACCTCGACAAAAATTTAATGTCAGATTAATCTATGATTTTTTAACTTTAACAGTCACCCCACAAATCTATATCTTAAGACATTTTTTTATTTAGGAGATGGAAAGCTCTGTTATATTTTGAAACTGCCAAATATTCCAAAAACTATAGGAGAAATGATTATTATTAGATTCTGGTTAGAACAACTTTTTAATTGTGCTTTCGAAAATGCCGGATTTGGAAATGTTATATTTAATCCAAAAATCATTAATTTATTATTTGATAATGACAAAACAATTCTTACACAATTTCAAGTTAAACGCCTCTGTCTATCGCCTAGAGATAGCAATAATACAATCGAATGCATTTTGAAATTTGGCTTAATACATTTTGCAATTTATGAGTCTTTAAAAAGTACCTTCCAAGACGGCATTTCAGAGCAACAAACAAATATTTTATTCAATATTATAATAAATGAAGGCAATAAATTACCTAGTATTGGTTTCGGTTTTTTTAAATATACAAAGCTTTATGATCTTATTATTGAAGTAAGTTATTTAAAATTAAAATAGGAAAAAAAAAGAAGGAACTACCCTTCGCGTTCGGGAATTTCGGGTTCCCTTTTTGAAAATAAATTTAAATTTTAGTATATAACAACTTCTAAAGATGATTTTTCAAAAATGGTGTCTGCTATTACTTTATATGTTATTTTATTACCAAATTTTAAATTGAACGAGAGAGCAGAGAACGTTGAATATATACAAGGAGATGAATCAGAAATTACAAAATATCAAATTGCCAATATTAATAATCCAAAAGCAAAATTTTCAATTTGGCATGAGGATATTAACATTACAAGTGAAGATGGATCAGTTTTTGTGATTAAAATTGAAAAAAATTGAAGAGCATAATTAAAAATGACAAAAAATTTATCATTTAAATTTCATTGACTTTTGATAAAATTGTTTTTTATTTTAATTTATATTTCACCGTTTTTAAAATTTAATCTTCATAAGTCGATCATTCAAGACATATTCAGAAATTACAGATTCAAGTTAAATGATTACATCCTGACTTTGGATTTCTGTGGAATCGATCTAAATAAAATTTAAATTAAAAATTTTAGTTAATATTTATACCAAAGAGAGTTTATAGAATTCTATTCTTGCCAATCCTCCCTCGTATTTATCAATTAAATTTCGAAAATAAAAATTGGTTTGTTTAAGAGAGAATAATTGCTTAAAATTAAGACATTTTAAAGCATCAAATTGAACTTCAGGAGGAAGAGAAAGCATTTTAAAATTCTAAAAATAAAATCGAAATAGTGGTTCAACCCAAAAATGCGTCGCAACTCCCGATTTTCGGGAACCAGGACGGCAGGAATCCTGGTGCAAGAAAAATTCAATTGAAATTTAAATTAAATATGCATCAGGTCTTTCGAATGAGCTATTATTTGCATATTCGAATTTTTTTACCCCAAAATTGAGCTTACTCCCCCTTATGGTTTTTCGAATTTCAGGGACCTATATCTAGGTCCAAAAATTTTCTCTCGGGCTAATTTTGGTGGCATTCGACTCAGTCGACTAGCTCTTTCAAATGGTATAACATTTGTATATTAAGCTAGGCATCCATATACTAAAGTACAGCCCAGATGACCTAGAAAATGACCAAGTAGTTATGTTAATCAATGAATGCCCTGCATTTTCTAATGTAGTATTTTCTTCACTGAAGGAGGGTACATGTGTGAGAGAGAAATTTATATTTGGACTTAGAGAATATATAAAAGAAAAACTATCGTTCGCTTTTTAATAATCCATATTTTTTTACCCATTCTTTATTTTTTCAATTAAATTAAATCTTCTCAAGAATTTACAGTATGTTTTCTGATTTGACAGAAGTAAATATTTTTAGCTTTAACTCTACTTTACTGACCTGAACAGATTTTTAAAAATTATTTGTCCGAACTCTCACTGATTTGTGAGTCGAATTACATCGAGATTAGCTAGCGGAAAAATACTGTCCAGACAATGCGTCAGTGGACATTCGGTCAGTAATGATATAAAAAGACTAGTTGTGATATAAAGAGATTAGAAGTATTTAGAAAGAAATTTTGGGGGATTAAAAAAGATATAGAAAGGTTTGTTGATATTAAAGCCGATATCTCAGATTTGGGAGGATTAGCAGATATATTAAGTTATTTGGTTGGATTAAGAGGAATATCAGTGGATTTGGAGGGATATCAGTGGATTTTTATTTCTTTATATCAACACTGAACGATTGTCCACTGACGCATTGTCCTGGAGCCGGAAATTGCCTTTAAAAAGTTAAAAGCCTTACGAGGGGTAGTTCATTCTTATGGACAAAAATATTTGTAAAGATCTGTTTTGAGTCGGTAAGGTGCACATTAGTCTAAATTTACCGGAACGGGCCAGGTGAGAGCCGCCAACTGAGTGCTGCCAACTGAGAGCGGGCAACTGAGAGCCGAGCCAACTGAGAGCGAGCCAACTGAGAGCTAGCCAACTGAGAGCGGCCAACTGAGAGCCTCTTATAAAAGGGCCAACTGAGTGCCAGGGCTTTTAATAAAATACTAAGATTCGAAAAAATTAGTTTTTCGGATCGACGGCCGCTGGGTTCTGCACCAGTTACTTAAATTTGTTCCTTTTTATTAATTCTCAACTTTCAACGAAGATCTACCCCATCGTAGCGACACAAAACAGTCATTTCAGCGAAAGTTCAGTTCCTCGCAATTTTGTTTAGGATCATCAAATTACGGTAATTTTGGTATAATTCGACTCAGCTTACTTGCTCTTTCGAATGACACCTCAATCGACCAAGTCGGTCTACCCCAAAAAACATATATGTCACAATACCCAAAATTAAGACCAAGACTGATTTAACTCGTGTCATTTTAAACGTTCTTTAGATCGTAAAAAGTAAGAAAAACAAAAAAAACAATAAAGAAAAATATTCTGGAATTTTTTTAGAATTAAATTTACTGACGCTCAGTTGGCCCTTTTATAAAGGGCTCTCAGTTGGCCGCGCTCAGTTGGCCGCTCTCAGTTGGCTGGCTCTCAGTTGGCTCGCTCTCAGTTGGCTCGGCTCTCAGTTGCCCGCTCTCAGTTGGCAGCACTCAGTTGGCGGCTCTCACTTGACCCCAACCGTAAATTTACTATTAAAAAATTGTTTTAGTTTAAGTCACTTAAATGTGAGATTGAATGGAAATTAACTGATTTTTATAAACATGAACAGTATATGCAAAATGGTCAATTTTTAACGAGTTTGTGTTTTTTGCATATTTTTATTTAAAAATTAATTTTAACTCAAATTTAGGCAAACAATTTTATAATCAAAAATGTCCTTCTGTTAAATGGGAATTACGTATTTACTACAATAATTTATACAAAAAGGGTATATACTCGCTTTTTTTTAAATAAAAAAACAAAAACACAAGTTTGAGTAAAGTATATTTACGGCCTTCTCTGAACATAAGAGCAGTTCAGTTCGTTTAGCTGCATTTTGATATTTCTCCATTAAATACGCACATCGTCTTTAGGGAGCAGGCCAACCTACCGCAAGCCCAACCTTCCACCGAGACGATAACTTTGTTCGAAATTGTCAAATCCGGGCCACCCAGGTATGTTTTGATGCATCCCAACGAGCTGAACCGAGCCATACCAAGGCGTCCCGGATTCGATAATTTTGCACAAAGTTATAGCCTCGACGGTAGGTTGGGGGGGGGGTGTACCCTTGCCTTTATCCCCTTCAACCTGCTCTTATATTCGAGCTAATATTTGCAGCATATAAAATTTGATTTAAAAATTATTTATTAGGAACATGGCACACACATTATTCAATTTCACTTGTTCAAGTAGGACTAAAAGACTCAGATTACTCCCTTAATGCTAAATTTAATTTTTATTTATTGGACGATAAAGAAAGTACATGGAAAAGTCTTTTAGGGTATGCATGTTAATTTCTAATTTATTAAATTTTAATTTATTTTAACGTTGAAAGTCCATTATTTGAAAAGTAAAGTTAATACAGAATTCAAAAAAAATTTTAAATGAAGAAAAAGTTCACTTGACTTTCTCTGGTTCAAATGGTATCACGACTTGCGCCATCATTAGAAAAATATATTAATAACTACAGCCGGGCCTCACTATATTGTACCCTCTTGGGGCAAAAAATTAAGCCGGAATAGGGTCGGCAGATCCGGATACGAAAAAAGTCTGGGCGTTCAAATTTTTGGTGCAGATATCAAATCAAGCGACTTCTTATGAACCGCCAACCCTATGCCGGAATTTAAAAGAGTTGTAAAAAAATTAATTGGGTCTCTATTGATAGAAAACTTGGGTATTGTGACTTATAGCGGATTTTTTGTTTCTGAACCGATTTCGACAAATGAGGTGTCATTCGAAAGAGCTTCAAAAACTGAGTCGAAATAGATACGGGGGAAATCGATCCGACAATCAGGGACCGAGTTACAGACCCATGAAGTTTGAAAAAGAGTAGGGGGGAGTCCGCTATAAGTCACAACATTCGAAAACTTTTAATATAAAGCAAAATTATCTAAAATTTTAGGAGTGCTAGGGTGAATAATTTTAAGTATAAAATAGAATCAGACAAATGCGCATTTAACAAACCAACAAATGGCAGTATGTTAATTAATAAATTTTAATAGAGACGTGCGAGACTCTTGGCCTCGAGTCTTGACTCAAGACTTTTATTGGGGTTTTTTCGGTCTTGGTCTTGGGATGAAGTTTTGGTCTTGAGCCTTGAAAAATTTTCGGTCTCGCATGTCTCTAAATTTTAACAAATTTTGGGTTTTTTAGTTGACTTAACGATTTTTTGTGAAGTAGAATTTGTGCCCTATAATTTAAAATTGGAAAATAAATTTGATGAATTTTCAACACCAAAAACCTCATTTATGGATATTTTTAATAAGGGAATATTTACTGACTGTGTTTTTGAGATAAGTTTTTTTAATTAACCTCTTAATTAAAAATATTTTTCTGATAACCGGACAGTTCGGAAAACGGTTTCTAGTGAAAAATCCGCAATTTTAATTTAAAATCCGCAGCCGCAATACGCAATCCGCAAGTCAAAAAAACACCATTTTACGCAATCCTTAACTCGCAATCTCCGCAATTGCGTGCAGTCCTGGTTTGAGATCGGGAAGACAAAATCGAAGGGCCACCCATCCAAAATACATGTATGTAATTAATTTTTAAAATATATTTACATTGGAGATGAGAAAATAAACGCACATAAATGTATTTTGGCTAACTACAGTATTGTATTCCAAACAATGTTTGAACAAATATGTATGGAAGAGGCAAAAACTGTAAATTTCTTTATCAAACTTAATTTTTTATAATCAAATACTAAATATATCTCAATAGGGATACGATTTAGTCGGCCACTGTTTGGGAAGAGATCATTAGCTATGCCCACATTTGTCCACAATTTAGTAGATCCAAGGCTCCTGGTCTTGAGTCTTTGGCCTTCCAAAATTCTTATGATTTCCGCCTCTGGCGGTAAAAATAGAAAATATATCGGGCTCTTGATCTAATCTTGGTCTTGAGTCTTGGAAAATTTCGTCTTGGAAGTCTCTACAATTTAGTTTCTAATTAAAATAATTTTAAGGGTAAAATTAAAATTGTCGATTCTTCTCCAGAATGTTTTAAAGCAATGTTGGAATATTTTTATAGTGGAGAAATTGATAAAAGTAAATTTAAAAATATACATTTTTTAATTAAAAAAAATATTTTGAAAGAAACAATCGAAAAACATTCTGAAAATTTATTTGCTATTGCTCATAAATACCAAGTAAAGCAATTAATGCAAGTTTGTGAATATTATATGGCTGAACATATTGGTAGAAAATTGAAAATATTTTTAAATTATTTTTTATTTTCAAAAAAGATGTTGCAAACTTTAATGAACGTTGTAATTATGCAGAACTTTATTGTCTTTCGAATCTTGAGAAGGTTGGTTTGGGGTAAATGAGCCAGATTTCTTTGTTTTTTGCACCGCAGACGCAAATTTCGAGAAAATTTGGCCTTAATTCTATGACCGATCCGATCTTTCGAAACGGACCGAACATGGCCCCCACTCCTAATCTAGATTATACTAAAAACTGTTCACTAATATCAAAAATATTTTTTTTCATCTAAACATTTTAATTATAAATATTTTTAGGCGTGTATTAATTATTTTTCTGCTAATAAAGAAACTTTTATTCTCAGCGAAGAATGGGATAAATTGAAAAATAACAACAAAGATTTAGCCATTCGTTTGTTAGAAGAGAAGCAAATTTTAGAGGAAAAAATTGGTAAAAAATAATTTAAAATAAAATATAGTTTATAATAAAATTGTGTATAAACTAGTTAAGTTTTTTAAAATAAAATTAGTTAAGTTTTTTTAAAAATAAAATTAGAGATAGAACACAATAATTTTTTGATTCTCTAAGGCTACATTGCATTATTTTTCACAACAAAAGATATATTTTTCTTAGTTAAAAATGTATCAAAAACTGAAAATTAAAGTGTGAAAGAAGCATTTGATCATTGAACATGGCACAGGGTGAATTGAGTGAAATCGTGGAAGAAAAACAAAAATATTTAATAAATCAGCAGTCTCCAAACTGCCAAAAAATATAAAATTAAATAAAACATAAAATTTTGATTTAAAATCAATGAAAAATAAATATTTTTTCAATTCTTTTCTTTCTTATCAAATCTTAATCTTCAATTTTCTTTTCGATATAAACAAAGAAAAAATTTCTAGTTCCACAATTTAAAAATAAAAATTTCACTTTTGGATTATAAACATTGACAATTTTGTATTTTGTAGAGTCCCCATCAATTTTAGCTTTTTCTGCTTTTTCAGGCAGTTTAGGTACGTCGAATGAATGGCAAAATAAAGTGATAAAAGGCACCATTTTTGATAAATCTTTGGATGTTGTTATATACTAAAATTTAAATTTATTTTCAATGGGGTTGGAACACGACCAGGGCTGGCGTCCAGCCCTGACCCCCTTTGCGTCCAGCTCTGACCTCGACTCTGATAGCGAGATTTATTTATTTATTTATTGAGTAAATCACAAGGTAAAAATTACACTTATTGTGATTAAAAAAATATGTGAAAAATGTCTGTAAATTACAAATTAAAAATTTTGAAAAATTGTCAATTCTAAACAAGATAATCAAACAAGGGGGAAGTCACACATTCTAGGTTTATACAAGCTAATCCAATTAAATAATTCAATTCCTTTCAGCCCCGAATCTGAATGATTTTGTTGAACCGAGATCCTTGATCCCAAAGGGCGGGGTCCAACACTAACTTCCAACTTTGGGGTGTGGAGTATCCTGAACTTACTTCAATAATACGATCATAAAGCTTTGAAGACTTGAAAACACCAAGACAAACATGAGGAAATTTGCTGCCTTCATTTATTATAATATTGAATAAAATATCAGTATATTGCTCTGGAATGTCGCTCTTATCAAAAAAAGAGAATAACTCATAAACTGCGAAACGGGTTAAACCAAAATTCAAAAAATCTTGAAATTTTTCATCTTTAGTTTGTATAGTGGATTTTCCAACGTGAAATTGTTTGGGCATTGTTTTGTCGTTATTAAATAATAAATTAATCATTTCTGAATTAAATATAACATTTCCAAACTCGGCTTCTTTAAAAGCACAGTTAAAAAGTTGCTCCAACCAAAATCGAATAACAACCATTTCTTCTATAGTTTTTGGAATGTTTGGCAATTTGAGAATATAACGAGGCTTTTTATCTAAATGAAAAATAAATAGATTAATCCTGCCTTTTAGAAGGATTTGTGGAGTTAAAAGTAGGGATGCTTTTTTTGAACTGGGTTGATTTATTTTGAACTACGTTTGATTTATTTTTTCGGACCTCATTTTTAGCACACAGGGCCGTTCAAGTACCTTTTCGGGCCAAAAATCGAAGCCCGATTCGATCCTTCGAACCGATCCAGGACGGCAACCCTCATTAAGAGAATTAAGAAAGCCCTGCCCTTTTTATAAGTGCCACCAGGCTAATAAAGTGGCTTGAATTAATGTTTATTTAATACCACACAAAACCTTTTTTCTTCAGTTGAACAGCAAAGCATTCACTACCATCTTTAACCGCATGTAAAAACAAAGGAATAGATTTATCCAACGCTGTTTCCCACTGACAAAATACAAGTAAAATTTGAAAATAATTTAACCTTCTCCCTAAGATGCTCACCCAAAACAAACTCAGAAACTACAGGTTCAAGTTGAATGAATACATTGGATCTATCCGGACTATCGATACTTTTGGCGTCAATCTAAAATTGGTTTTCAAAGCAAAAATTTATTTATATTTATACCAATGAGAGTTCAAAAACCTCCATTCGAGCTAATCCTCCTTCATATTTATTAATTAAATTTCGAAAGTAAAAATTAGTTTGTTTAAAAGAAAATAATTGCTCGAAATCAAGACATTTCAAAACATCGACTTGAACTTCAGGTGCGAGAAAAAGCATTTTAATATAACTTTACTGAAAAGATATTAAAATCTAACTTAATATTATTCCACAATTGTTTATAAACAAATCGCATTCAAAATCGCAACTAACAAACATTTTTTCTATGGAAAACTATTGGCTTGTTTTCATAGAATAAATCCTTTTATACATACATATATCGATTTCCCAATGTCGTGTAAGGACAGTTCACTATAAGGACAATTCACACAAAAACATGGCAGTTCACAACTTATTTTATAAACTCTGCCTTTTGGTGAACTGCCCTGTTGCTACTTTAAATTAATGGAAACGTCCTACTCCACGGTATAAATGGCGGAATGAATTCCAAAACGAACTAAAACAAGTTTGGTTTATATAAGGAGAAAAGGCTGGGAAAGTCATCTTATGATAAGAAATAGGAAAGTGACATATTTGAATAAATGAACTTGAAAAATGAGAAAATGTTGAGTGGCATTATAAGGATTAAGTTTGAATATAGGAATCGAATTTTTCTTTAATCTCTGCTTGTAAAAAATGCATTTTTTGTAAATTGTAATCAAAGAAATTTAAAAATTGAATAAGCAGGTTTTAACTGGTAGAAACGATGAAATATAAATTAAAAAATTTTATCGAAAGTCAATGAAATTTAGGAACTTATATGGTTTAGGTGCGCTTTTTTAGCCACGCCCCTTTCTCCTTTTCCCTCGTCAAGCAAATTTAAATAACAAATTTTTAAATATTTTTAATCCTCTTCCATTTTTTCAATTCCAATTACAAAAACAGATCCATCTGCAATTGGCGTGTTAAGATCCTCATGACAAAGTGAAAATTTTGCTTTTGGATTATAAATATTGGCAATTTGGTATTTTGTAATTTTTGTTTCATCTCCTTGTATATATTCAATGTTTTCTGCTCTCTTGTTCAATTTAAAATTTGGTAATAAAATACCATTTAAAACAATAACAGGCACCATTTTTGAAAAATCATCTTTAGATGTTATTATATACTAAAATTCAGACTAGGACACGGATACGGATTTTGGTATCCGTATCCGGATATTTATTTGTAGGGTTGCCGTTTTCGAGTCGGGCCGACGGTCGAGTCATTTTTTTCGGGCTTCATTTTCATCGAGTCGGGTCAAACCAGTCTTTTTCGGGCCAAATATCCTAGGCCCGACTCGATCTTTCGGTCCGAGTCGGGCCATTTTGGCAACCCTAATTATTTGTATCCATATCCGTGTGCAAGTCTGCTAAAATTGAAATTTATTTTCAAAAAGGCTTGCCAGCAGGGCTGCACGCAATAAGGATATTGATTTAATGTTAATGTCTATTTTGGGTAACTTTGTCAAATCAAGTCGGATTTTGTTGATTTTGATGTCATGAGCTATTATTTGCATTTTCGAATTTTTCACCCCAAAATGAGCATACTCCCCCCTACTTTTTTCAAACTTCAGGGTCTGTATCTCGGTCCCTGATTGTCGGATCGACTTCTCTCTGCCCGCGATCGACTCAGCTCGGCGAGCTGTTTCGAATGACACATCATTTGTCCAAATCGGACCAGCCAAAAAACCCATATGTCACAATACCCCTGCCCGCCAGCCCAACCCTAATTTTCAACTTTAATTTTAAATAACTTACTTCAATAATAAGTTCATAAAGTTTTGTAAATTTATAGTTACAGAAAAAAACTTGAGGTAATTTTTTGCCTTCATTTTTTATAATATCGAATAAAATATTTGTTTGATGCTCTGAAATGTCGTCTTGAAAAGTGCTGACTAAAGATTCATAAATTGCAAAATGAATTAAACTAAATTTCAAAATATTTTCGATTGTATTGTTGCTAGCCAATAACCAGAGGTGATTAACGTGAAATTGTTTAAAATTATCAAATAATAAATAAATCATTTCTGGATTAAATATAACATTTCCAAATTCTGTTTCAAAAAAAGCACAATTAAAAAGTTCCTCTAACCAAAATCGAACAATGACCATTTCTTCCATAGTTTTTGGAGTGTTTGGCAATTTCAGAATATAACTGGGGTTGTTGTCCACTAAATAGAAAATGTCTTAATAAATATAGAGAAATAATCTGATAAACTTTTATTCCTAATTAAAAGTTAAAAAATTATGCATTAATAGTTATAGGTCCAGAAAAATTGAAGAACCATAGGGGGAATCATCGAGATTGTACAAGTTTAGACAAAGTTACGATAGAAAAACAGACAACGTAAACTATGGGCATCGGTATGGCGCTTGTCCCTTTTGCGGCACGCGCCTCGCGTGTAGTCTACGGTCGCTGGGTTCTGGATCAGTAACATAAACCCATTCCTATATCCCTTGATCTGGGGCATCCGTAACAACAAAAACCTCCAGGAAGACCATAGGAAAGTAGCACACCATCTCTCCCACCCTTCATGAGACTCGATCACCATCTAAGTCCATATCCGTACACGCATTAAAACCCCTCTATAAGTGAAAATTTTTAAAACCTTTTTTATTTAACCGGACAGCAAAGTCTATACTATCTTCTAATTGATGCAAAAACAACGGAATAGATTTAGGTATCGCTGTTTCCCACTAAAAAATACAAGTAAAATTTAAAAAATAATTTAGTTAACCTTCTCCGTAAGTTGCTCATTCAAAACAAAATCAGAAGCCACAGGTTCAAGTTTACTGATTACATTTTGACTGCCGATTTTTTTGGTGTCAATCTAAAACAATTTTAAACCAAAAAATTCGTTAGAATTTATACCAATGAGAGTTCAAAGAATTCCATTCTTGCCAATCCCCCCTCGTATTTATTAATTAAATATCGAAAATAAAAATTGGTTTGTTTAAGAGAGAATAATTGCTCGAAATTAAGACATTTTAAAACGTCAAGTTGAACTTCATGTGGAAGAGAAAGCATTTTTATCTACAAAAAAGTATAAAAATCCAGCTTCTAAATTCTCAAATTAATAAGTCAAAAAAAAGAAAATCGCGTCTTACAACGTCAATGAGCCGTTGAATTACTAACAATTTTTTGTCTATGACTTTATGTTTAATTTAATGGAAACATCCCCTAAAAGTAGCGTCACGGTTTTTATAAAAAGGCAGAATGAATGCCAACACAAACTAAAAGAAGTTTGGTTTATATATGGAGACAAAGGGGAACTTTTTTATGATGATTGACAAATATTTGAATAGTTAAAAGGAACTTTGAAAATGGGAAAATGTTGAGCGGCATTATAAGGATTAAATTTGAATATTATGGAATGGCAGGGGTTTTCCCTTTAATCTCTGCTTGTAAAAATATTTTTTTTTGGAAATTTTAGTGGAAATATTTTAAAAAATATTAAAAATTGGATAGGCAGGTTTTAACCGTTAGAAACGTTGAAATATGAATTAAAATAAAAAACAATTTATCAATAGTCAATGAAATTTATATGATAAATTTTGTTTATCCTTTTCAATTCTGTTCTTCCATTTTTTCAATTTTAACACAAATTGATCCATCTTCAATTGGCGTGTTAAGAGCCTTATGACAAAATGAAAATTTTGCTTTTGGATTGTAAATATTGGCAATTTGGTATTTTGTAATTTTTATACAACCTTCTAGAATATATTCAACATTTTCTGCTCTCTTGTTCAATTTGAAATTTGGTAATAAAATATCATTTAAAGTAATAACAGGCACCATTTTTGAAAAATCTCTAGCCGTTGTTATATACTAAAATTTAAAATTATTTTCAAAAAGGGTCCAAAAAGTTCTCGAAACCGAAGAGTCAGGTTAATTTAAAATAATTTACTTCAATAATAAGATCACAAAGCTTTGAAATCCTAAAACCGAACCAAATCTGAGGTAATTTTCTGCCCTCATTTTTTATAATATTGAATAAAATATTTGTTTGTTGCTCTGAAATGTCATCTTCATGCTTGAAAAACATAAAATACATGTAAATTGCAAAATGATGTAAACTAAATTCCAGAAATTTTTCAAATATAGAATTGCTAGTGGTTAAAAAAGCTGTATGAACGTGGAATTGTTTAACAATTGTTTTGTCATCATCAAATAATAAATTAATCATTTCTGGATTAAATATAACATTTGAAAATACGGCTCTTTCAAACGCACATTTAAAAAGTTGTTCTAACCAGAATCGAATAATAATCATTTCTTCTATAGTTTTTGGCATGTTTGGCAATTTCAGAATATAACGGGGTATTTTGTCCTCTAAATAGAAAATGTCTTAATAAAGCTTTGCGATGTAAGCCTAGGTTATCGTTCAAGGCAATTTGGTTCTACCTGTTTTCTCCAATTGAACAGCAAAGTCTTCACTATCATTTCCAACCTCATGCAAAAACAAAGGAATAGATTTAGCTATCGCTCTTTTCCACTGAAAAAATAAAAGTAAAATTTAAAAAATAATTTAGGTAACCTTCTTTCTAAGATGTCCACTCAAAACAAATTCAGAAACTACAGGTTCAAGTTTAATGATTACAAAGGGTTCTGGCTTTTGACTGTCGATAGTTTTGGCGTTAATCTAAAATCAAGTTTTAATCAAAAATTTCGTTAAAATTTATACCAATGAGAGTTCAAAGAATTTGATTCGAGCCAATCCTCCCTCATATTTATTAATTAAATTGCGGGAATAAAAGTTGGTTTGTTTAAGCGAGAATAATTGCTCGAAATGAAGACATTTTAAAACATCAAGTTGAACTTCAAACGGTAGAGAAAGCATTTTGATATGTTGAACAATGAAGAAATCTAATTAAATAATAGGGAAGGATTTGTGTTTGTCTGTCTGGCCTTTTATAGTAGAATGACTAGTGGAGTGAGGAAATAGCGGCTTTTATAGTAAAGCTTTGTTTTTAATTAAGTTTTAGGCTGCTTGATCTTAAATCCTCGTTTATCATATCAACTTTTTCTGATTCTCGTTCAATTTAAATACAATGTAAATCAATAGTAGGCACCATATTTGAAAAATCCTTGATGTTATTACAATGCGCCGTAACTTTGTAAAATGGGAAAATAAAAAAATGTTGAGCTGCATTATTAAGGATTAAGTTTTTGCTAATGAGGTGGCTTTTACGGAGTCCTCGGCCTCGGCTTTTTCAAAAAACCTCGACCTCGACTAACTCTAGTTTATGAGGGTTTGTTCTTTAGACTTTTATTAATTTATTTTAAATTTAGTTAAATCAAAAATTAAATGTGTAAAGAAATTTATTTTTTAAAAATTGGCAGGCTTTAATCAGCGAAAAATGATGAAATATAAATTATCAAAAAAAAAAAACAATTTAATCAAAAGTCAATGAAATTTAAAAAATGATTTTCAATAAATCGTTAAAAAATATTTTTGTCCTCAATTTAATCCTGCTCTTTCATTTTATCGATTCTAACCATAAAAAGTGGTTCATCCCTATTTAAATTGCCAAGATCCTCATGCCAAACTGAAAATTTAACTTTTGGATTATAAATATTGGCAAGTTGATATTTTGTAATTTTTGATCTTCCTTTTTGGATATTCTCAACATTTTCTGCTCTCCCATTCAATTTAAAATTTGGTGATAAAATACAATATAAATCAATAGAAGGCACCATTTTTGAAAAATCCTTGGATGTTATTATATGCTGAAATTTAAAATAATTTGGCGTTGTGTATTAAATTAAATCTTTCAACAAATTAGAGGGGTGTGCCGTTTCGACTTTCGTCTTAGCCGAATTTTCGACTTTTTTGGTATTTCGTCTATTAAAATTCGTTTCGGCATATCCGTCACACGACCAAACTTAATTAACTAATCCATGGTGATTCTGAAGATGGTACAATGCTTCCTCCAACTCTTCTGATGTCTCTTAAATCGGGGATTCAGAGAAGTTGGAGGGATCAAGTGGACCAACTTTTCCCTTGAATCCACTGATATTTTGTGATTATTAGGGATATCGAGGTTTTTGGGAGCAAGAGCGATACCCTCCGATATTTTTCATGCCTTTGATTCTGCTTCAGAATTACCTAATCCAATTCCTCTCAACCCTGAACATAAAGGGTCGAGTCTACCCACAATTTTCAACTTTACTTCTTAAATATGCAACTCTTACTTTAATAATAAGATCATAAAGCATTGAAGATCTTGAAGCTATATTAATACCGAAATAAACTCGAGGAACTTTATTGCCTTCATTCATTATAATATTGAATAAAATGTTTGTGTGTTGCTCTGAAAGGTCGTCAGGAAAGTAAGTGTTTAAAGACTCATAAATTGCAAAATGAATTAAACCAAATTTCAAAATATTTTCGATTGTCTTGTTGCTGTTGCTACCCGATAGAGAGAGGTATTGAACGTGAAATTGTTTAGGATATGATTTAACATTATCAAATAATAAATTAATCAATTTTGGATTAAATATAATATTTCCAAATTTTGTTTCATAAAAACCACAATTGAAAAGTTGCTCAAACCAAAATCGAATAATAATCATTTCTTCTATAGTTTTTGGAGTATTTGGCAATTTCAGAATATAACGATATTCTTTGTAGTTGTACGCTAAATAAAATGTTATGGAAAATTCGACTCTAGAGCAATCCATCAGTGGACAAATCCGTTCAGCGGACAATACCGCTTCCCCTACTTAATCCCAAAAATCCCTCTTAATTTCCCAAATCCCTCGATAACCCCCATAATACAAATCCATTAAATCATCCAATTCTTATCTATGTACTCTTAAAAATGGGAGTGGATTTGTTCCAACAATAAGAGAGGTTGTTCCTGCTGAATCTTAGCTGGAATAAGTGTGTGCTGCTACTAAGGCTTCGCTACATGCTCGCGGCGACCGTAGCGAAGCTTCTCCGAAGTGGCAAATACTTTTCACCGCTGTCGGAACCAGACTGGTGCATGGATACGGATTTTGCTATCCGTATCCGGATATATCCGTGGGGTCAATATCCGTATCCGTTTGTATCCGTCCAACTTTTGAGTCATATCCATCCGCGGATATATCCGTTTTTTCTCAAAATGGTCAGACTAGCTAAAATTTTCAAAATGGTCAAATTTATTTAAATTCGAGTAATGGTTAGATAATGAGGTAATAACGCATGCAGCAAAACGAACCTTGCTTATGAACATCGGAGGTCCGAAAATCTGAAGGAAGAGATCGGAATTCCGATCCAACGCTCATAACAGGGATCATACCGACAAAAAATAAAATTTTGAAAATTTAAATACACGGTTTCGGGCCGTAATGAAAATTTCGGTTAACTGACTAGTTGATTTCAGCGCCGCAGGCAAAAATTTTGATAATTTAAGAAGGCCATAGGCATGAAAAATTTACTTTTTTTCCAAATCTCCTCATCAAATTTATCTCTATTCCCCATTTCGAGAGGGGAGTGGGGAATTCTCCCTCCCTCCTCCCTCCCTTGTTATGAGCCTGGTATATGTAGTTTTTGGACCTCCAAAATTCTGAAATTTTTGTTTGCTCAGCTAAAAGTGAATTTTTTGGTTTATGCCTGTGGCGTTGGAAAAGTGAAATCTCGTTTCTTGGCTTTTAAAATTCTAAAAATTTTTGCACTGAGTAGGGCTCCCCGAGCCTTCGGGTTCGGGATCGTTGGGGATCAGCGTTTGCCGGTCAGTGCATGTCGTGGTTGGCGGCCAGGGCATGTCGTGGCATTTTCAGCGCCGCAGGCGAAATTTTTGAGAATTTTGGAATACCATTAAGCAAGAAATCTTCCATTTTCAGCGCCGCAGGCGAAAATTTTTAGAATTTTAGAAGGCCGTAGGCCAAAAAATTCACCTTTGCCCAATCTCCTCATCGAACGGATATCCGCGGATTTGGAGCATCATATCCGTATCCATCCGTATCCGTCCGTTTTTTAAAAAAACACTATCCATATCCTTCCGTATCCGCGGATATCCGCGGGTATCCGGATATTATCCGTATCCATGCACCAGTCTGGTCGGAACAACATCCCTCTTTAGTTGGCAGTTTATTATGATTTTATATAGTCAAAAAACCTATTTTCTTCATCTTGATAACAACGTCCGCAATACCATCTTCAGAACTATCCCCAAAATCATGTAAAAACAATGGAATTGGTTCAGCTATCGCTGTTTCCCACTGAAAAAAGGGGTTATCTAAGCATCAATTAAAATTAATAACCTTCTCCTTAAGTTGATCGGTTAAAATAAAATCAGAAACTACAGGTTCAGGTTTAATGAATACATAAGAATCCAAAATCACCTCCGAATGTTCAATTTTTCTGGCATCAATCTAAAATCAGTTTAAACTAAAAGCTAAAATGTAGTTACCAGAGAAAGGCTATAGAATTTCATTCTAGCCAATCCTCCCTCGTATTTATTAATTAAATTTCGAAAATAAAAGTTGGTTTGTTTAAGCGAGAATAATTGCTCAAAATTAAGACATTTTAAAACGTCAAGTTGTACTTCAGGCGGAAGAGAAATCATTTTAAACAGTAAAAATTCTAAAAATAAACGTAAGATATAACCGATTATCTAAGACAATATAGAAATGAAGGAATTTATGTATCACCCTAGTAGTGTCGTTTATGTCCCTCTTTTTTCATCTTTTCCAACATCCCCCTCCCTATACGGAGTATTAAAATTTTGTAGTCGTTCCATTATTTTTTAAGAAAATGAGAAAATGGCATCTTTTCAAATATTTTTCAACTTAAATAGAGATTATTTTTATAAAAAAGTTAGTCCTTTCTGGTTTATTTTGTGCCATTGGCAAGTATAGGGGAATTTTGAAAGATGGAAAAAAGGAGAAAAATAAACGACAAATATTACCAATTATAAATGTTAAGTCAACTTAAAGACAATGGGAAATGAGAAAAAGGTCACAATTAAAGTTTAATAATATTTGAAAATAAATTGGCAGGTTTTAAACTGCTAAAAATGATAAAATAAATATGTAAAATAAGCCAAAATTTTTTTTATTTAAATTCAATAAAAAGTAAATATGTAATTTTTTTTCCGATATTTGTTTCCAATAAACTAAAAAATTTTTTGTAAGATCCTCTTAAATTCTACTCTTCCATTCTTTGGATTAAATCATAAAATCTTGTCCCCCTTTTATGATGGTAAAAATAAAATTTCACTTTTGGATTGTGAATATTGACAATTTGGTATTCTGTAGATTTTCGACCATCACATTGTTTAATTTTAACATTTTTTGCTCTGTCGGGCAATTTAAAATTTTTGGATGTTTCATAGTAATCAAATTCAATAGAATACACCATTTTTGAAAGATCTTTAGATGTTGTTACATACTAAATAAAAATTAAATTTAATTTCAAATTTAACTCTTACTTCAATAATAAGATAGTAAAGCTTTGTAGAGTTACAACATAAATGAATCACAGGCACTTTATTGCCTTCATTTATTATAATGTTGAATAACATATCAGTGTGCTTATTAGTAATGTAATCGAAATCAAGAAAATCATAAATTACACAACACTTTAGAGCAAATTCAAAAAAATTTTCAATTGTATTGTTGCTAGGATATAGACAGAGATAGTTAATGTTAAACTGCTTAACAATTGTTTTGTCATCATCAAATAATAAATTAATCATTTTTGGATTAAATATAACATCATTAAACACGGCCATTTGAAAAGCACAATTAAAAAGTTGTTCCAACCAAAATCGAATAACAATCATTTCTTCTATAGTTTTTGGGATGTTTGGCAAATTCAGAATATAAAGAGGCTTTTCAGTTTCTAAATAAATAATGGGTAATTCTTAAGCTGGTCCCCCCCTTTTTTTTCTGTTCCCCTGACCATTTTGAGCTTTTTTGCTTGACATATAATTTACAATATATCTCTCGAAAGAGCTGTTCGAGCTGAGTAGAATGATACTATGATCGGTTCGATTTGGAGATTCTGAGTAATTTTTTAATCGAGGTTGCCAAAAGAGGGGAATATGAAACGAAAGGGAATTGAAAAGTTCAGAGGTTTACGGAATAATCAGTCATTTCATACTTAAACTAAATTACGGATTGGGGGAGGAAATAAGGGTACCCTACCGGATACCGTCCTTTTTATACCTTTTTTCTCTATTTGAACAACAAAATTTGTATCGCACAGATCTTCATCACATTCAAACAATGAAATAGATTCAGCCATAGCTGTTTTCCACTGAAAAAATACGAGTAATCTAATCAAAAATAAAAATTTAATTGATCACCTTTTTCAAAAGATGATCTGATAAAATAAATTCAGAAACTACAGGTTGAAGTTTGATGGTTACTTTTTGATTATGGAGAGTTTCAGATTTAATCTAAAATTAAATTTGAATCGAAAAAATTAATTATTATTTGCTAGAGATGAGTTAATGATTACATCTTGAGGATCGATTTTTTTGACGTCAATCTAAAATTAATTTTTAACTAAAAAATTAGTTAATATTTATACCAATGAGAGTTGAAAGAATTTCATCCGAGCCAATACTCCCTCGTATTTATTAATTAAATTGTAAAAGTAAAAATTGGTCTGTTTAAGAGAAAATAATTTCTTGAACTTGAGACATTTTAAAACATCAAGTTGAACTTCAGTTGGAAGAGAAAGCATTTTTAAACAGCAAAAATTC